CTGGAGATATGGTACAGCGGGTAGGATACTTGCCTTGCTTGCATGCAGATGATCCGTGCTCTATTCCCAGCACCAGATAGGGTCTCCTGAGCACTGTGAGGAGTGAGCCCTGAGTGCCGTCAGATTGTAAAAAAAAGAAAGAAAGAAAAGGAAGAGAGGGGCTGGAGTGATAGTACAGCAACTAGGATGCTTGCCATGAACCCGGTTGATCTGGCTTCAATTTTTGCCACCCGCACATGGTCCCCTGAGCCCTGCCAGGAGTGATCCCTGAGCAGAGCCAGGAGTAAGCCCTGAGCACCAGTGGGTGTAACCTTTTGGAAAATAAAAAAAGAAGGGGATGGAGCGATAGCACAGCGGGTAGGGCATTTGCCTTGCATGCAGCCGACCCGGGTTTGATTCCCAGCATCCCATATCGTCCCCCGAGCACCTCCAGGAGTAACTCCTGAGTGAAGAGCCAGGAGTAACCCCGGTGCATCACTGGGTGTGACCCAAAAAGCAAAAAAAAAAAAAAGAAGAAGAAGAAGAAGAAGATACTTAGTTAAAAACACTAGAGCATTTGGTGCCTGAAGTTGCTACTAAGTTACTAAAAAGACTGTCCAGCACTGGGCACTCACTTTTGTGATGTGTCTGAAAGCGGCCTCCTACAAGCAGGACCTACTTCTGTGGGCAGCTGCGATCCAGGGCCTGGATCAGCATTAGAGCAGAAGATCTCCTCTTACCCTTCACCAAAAGTCTCTGTTTTTGGAAAACTCACCTTGGCTTTTAACAGGTGCTACGTCTGTCTTGCCAAGTACAGAGTGAGTAGGAAAGAGCTCCTAGTGTTCTCACAGTGGCGTGATAGCTGCCCTCGAAGCAGTGGCCACTCCTCCCCTGTGGCCCCGTAGCCCGGAAACCCCCTAAGGGTGCCCCACAGATCCTCCGTTCTGTGGCTCACCAGACCCAGCCGTGGGGTCTGCCCGGCTTTGAACCTGAGGGTTAAGGTCTTCCAGCCAGTTACTGGAAACTCATTTGAGCTCTGAGCCTGTTCGTTCCTCGAAAGTTGTCAATGGGACTGGAGCTATAATCCAGCAGGGAGGGCGTTTGCCTTGCACACCGCCAGCCCAGGTTCGATCCCCAGCATCCCATAGGGTCCCCTGAGCACCGCCAGGAGTAACTCCTGAGTGCAGAGCCAGGAGGAACCCCTGTGCATTGCCGGGTGTGACCCAAAAAGAAAGAAAAAAGTTGTCAAACTCATTGCAGCTTGTTTTTATCCAAATTCAGCAGCATGACAGAGTTGGCCTGTTGTTGCCTCATGTCCCTCTTAAGGACTTAGCTGTAAGGTCCGGTCTGCTCAGGATAATCTCCCCTTTGGGGGCCTGAGGCGTGGGGTGGGGACCACACCCAGCAATGCTCGGGGCTTACTCATATCTCTGCTCTCAGGAATCACTCCCGGAAATGCTCAGAACCAATGTCGTCAGTATTAAGAGGGCGTTGGAAGGAGTGTGTGTCGAGAGCTTTCACAGTTCACCAGCCACACCCTAAACCTGCAAGGAGTTGCAGTGTTTTCCTCAAGCTTGCCCTTCAGTACTGCAAAAGGTTACGGATCTCCATCCCACAAGGCTCTCGATAGCTTGAACTCAAAATCCAAACTGCCTTTACACCATAACCAGAAGGCCCTTCCATTTATTCATCACACAAAATTTATTAAAAAATAAAATTTTTCTTTAGGATAGATGAGAGAGAAAGTGGAAAGCCCACAGCCAAAGGAGTCACACAGCCCAATCCGACACGGAACGTCTAATTACAACCTTGTCAAACGGTCAAATATTCAACCCAAACCCGCCTGCTGACCCCTCTCAACTACTCTCACCAAGGACTTGAATTACTAGGGAATAATAAGTCCCTAATTATAAAGATGTACTGCACGTGGGATCATCTATTTACTGGGTAACAGTGCAGCTCTAGATACATAATGAAGAGAATGACATCCAGCGCCTTTTTTTTTTTTTTTTGCCAAGGCTATGTGTGTGTATATTTATTCCTGTTTCAGTTTCCCACTAAGTAAAATGTGGATTAGTGTTTCACTCAGTGGTGGACACTGGTCATCGGTGGTGGAGAGAATTGCAGAATGGCGCCCACTCCCCACCTCACACTCCACAAGTCCATGTCCACACTCCAGCATTAGGCTGCCACGGCCACTCTCACGGAACGTGACAAAGCAAAGTGACTTCACAGGGGTAATCAAGGTCCGAGGTATGGGGAATCTGAATTAAAAGGGGAGATTAGGGGCCAGAGTGATAGTACAGTGGGTAGGACACTCACCTTGCACGTGGACGGCCTGGGTTCAATCCCCATCATCCCATATGGTCCCCAGAGCACTGCCAGGAGTGATTCCTGAGTGCAGAGCCGAGAGCAGTCCCTGAGTGTTGTCAAGTATGACAACCAAAAGAAGAGTCAAACACACCAAAGAAGAGTCTAAAATTTCTGAAGGCGTGTTCATTCTCATTCATAGTTGTTCCGTTTGAAAGGTATTCCAAAAGTATTTTCATTCCTCACCGTGACATTTCCTTTGTAAATTGAACTCGGGTCCTACCACACGGGTGTTTTTATCATCATCACTCTTGGCAGGTCTTTGGCTTTTGAGGGTCGTTAATTCATGAAAGCAACAGTGCAGACCGCGTTGGCTGAATAAAGTGTTTGAGGGCACTTAGGCAAATGCAAACCATGGTGCCACTCGGAATCCCCCAGGCAGGACTCTGTTGGTTCATTTTTGGCCCAAAACGCCCACTTTTTAAAAAGGCCAGCAGATATTCCCAGTAGATTTTCAACACTAATTGTTCGTGTCGTTACAGTAACTGCAGGACCAGAGGGAACGCAGTTCGGTGGAGATGGAGAACTGATTCTTATACTTGGATATTTTCAGATGAAGTTGTTTTGATTTTTTTTCTTTTTTTTCTTTTTTTTTTTTGGTTTTGGACCACACCCAACATTACTTAGGGAATACTTTCCTCTGTGCTCAGGGATCACTCCTGGCAGTGCTCGGGGGACCATCTGGGGTGCCGGGGATTGAACCTGGACCTGGGTCAGCTGCATGCAAGGCAAGCACCCTCCCTGATGTACATATCACCCCAGCTCCTCAAATGAAGTTTTCAGGAAGCCTTACTGAAAACATCTCAGTTCATTAGATAAAGGTTTGTTCTGGGGTGGGTTGGTTGATTGGATAGTTCTTAGGCCACACCTGGCAACGTTTAGGGTTTCTCCTGGCTCTGCCTAACTCCTGACAGTGCTCAGGGACCCTGTGGGATGCCAGGCATCAAACCCAGGTCAGGCACGTACAAGACAAATGCCCTACCCGCGGTACCATCCCTCCAGCTGTAGATAGATATTTTACGAGGATTGTTTTCCTTTTCCTATAGTAATTCTCTCTAGAAGGAAGCAGTATTTTTTTCCTCCTCTCTCTGGCCCATGAGCCCTGGAAGTCAGGCTGTCTATTCCGGTCTCTGTGGTTACTGTGGTTATTCTGATGTTCTGCATAGCTTAGTTGTTGGACAAAAGTCATCTGCAGTTTTTCAGAGTTCCTGCCTTCTCAAACAGAGATACTTAACAGATGATGCTTTCTCACGTGAGTTTTGTTATAAAGCCTGTGGCAAATTTGGCTCTAAGAGAGCCCTTTGTTTTATATGTTCTTCACTGAACTCCCCTTCACATGCAAGTCTGTCCTGTGGTCGCTGAAAATCACGTCTCGTTTTGTAGTTGATGTTTTACAGTGAAGCATCACCATGCTTCAAGGGGTGCAGAGCCCGGTGTCAATGTGAAAGAGATTTCACTCACATCAGCTCTCAGAGAACTGTCTTCAGTTATGTGTTTGCTTACCACATAGAACCAAAAGACTGAGTAGCAAGATAACAACGAACTCTAAGTAATAGTGAATGCCGGATCCGGAAAATGTCCACATTAGAAAGCAAAAAAAAAAAGAAAAGAAAAGAAAAGAAATGAGCAGAACAAACAGAATGTAGATTTGGCCTCTCGCCCCAAGGTTTCAGAGGAAATTATGCGGTTCCTGTTTAATTGTTATTGTTTGGTGGGGGGGGGGGCCACCAGTGGTGCTCAGGGCTTACCCCTGACTCTGCGCTCAGGGATCACCCCTGGTGGTGCTCGGAGGATTTTATGGGATGCCAGGAATTGAATCCAGATAGGATGCAAGGCAAGGCCCTACCTGCTGGACGATTGCTCCAGCCCAACGTTCTTAATTTTAAAGCATTTAAATGGGCATTCGCACCCTCGCCCTGCCCCCCAAAGTCCAGCCCTAGGAGAGAGAAACGGTATGTAACTTGCTCGAGGTAAAGGTAAAGGCCCTCCCGTTGATCGTCGATTTGCTCGAGCGGGCCCAGTAACGTCTCCATTGGAGACTTTGTTGTTACTGTGTCTGGCATATCGAATACTCTCGGTAGCTTGCCGGGCTCTCCGAGAGGGGCGGAGGAATCCAACTCGGGTCGGCCATGTTGGCCGCTTGTAAGGCGAACGCCCTACCCGCTGTGCTATCGCTCCAACCTATGTAACTTAGACCTATCTAAAACCTAAAAGACTGATCTACACTTAGGGATTGTGTGTAGGAAGGAAGCGCTTTACAAATCACTGTCATGTAGCTGCACTTTTGCTTTCGGGGTGGGAGTGATGGGTCAGTGGGTGTCCACGAGCTCGTCTGTGGGAGCTGAGGTTAAATCCTCCACATGACATGTTCCCCAGAGCATTGGGGCTGCCCCCCCCCACACACACACACCCCCCATCACTGCCAGATATGGCCCAGAGCCTGGCCCACCTAGGACTAGGGATGTTCCTCAGTGGTAGAGCCATGGCCCTTCCATTCCCAGCACTGCAGAGAGTGATCTTGTGTCAGAATTCTGGCGGCTGCCTTGGGAGAAAGTCGCTCTCTGCCCTCTCGACCACCAGCTCGGGGTGCCCCAGCCGGTGCGCGGTGCGCGTGGACCCTTACCCTGTTCTTCTTTCTCCTGTGCGACCAGCCCAAAAAGAAGAACATGTCCGCCTACCAGGTGTTCTGCAAGGAGTACCGCGTGAGCATCGTGGCCGACCACCCGGGCATCGGTAAGAGCACACACGTGTCCACCCAGCTCCTCCTCCTCCCACTTCGTTCCTGCCCGCAGCACTGCAGGGCCCGTTCCCTTCCCCACCCCCAGTGCCACTGGCTGTCAGGGAGGAAACAGGCTTTCCCAGCCCTGTCTCTCAGCCCTGAGGAGTTGGGAAACTGAGTCCAACATGGTCAAACAGCACCAGGTAGTCCGGCTGCCCTCAGGGATGGTGTCACAGCGAGAGCGCTGTCACAGGCCAGTTTGTCCCTCCCAGGGAGCAGGTGGGAGGAACGAGCCCGTCTCTGTTGTGACTCTCGGCGGTCAGCCTTCCGGGCCGGGCCCCCTCCTGACCTCCCCACCAGGGCTGTTGAAGGCCCCTGGCAGGCACCAAAAAGACCAGAGCGTACCCTGGGGAGCCTGACCCTGCTGAATAAATGCAGGTTCTGCATCATGGCACCTGGAGGGTGGTTTCTGGGGTGCTCTGGGCAAAGCCTTTGGTTCTGAGCCCCACAAAGTTCCACAGTGGTCACAGATCTATTTTTTTTTCTTTTTGGGTCACACCCAGCGAGGCTCAGGGGTTCCTCCTGACTCTGCACTCAGGAATCTCTCCTGGCGGTGCTTGGGAAACCAAATGCGATAGTGGGGATCAAACCCGGGTCAGCCGTGTGCAAGGCAAACACTCTCCCTGCTCTGCTATCACTCCGGCCCCCGGTCGCAGATCTTTTGTCAGCGTTATTCCTGACATGCTTTCTGGAACCCACATTGATACACTCTATTGAAGGGTCCCCTCTCCCCATAGGAAAGAACAACAGTGAGAGGCTCCAGTTCAGTTTTCTAATAAATAGCATTTTGTGCTTTTATTTATTGGGGGATGCGGAGGTCGGGGGGGCACTCCTGTCGACGCTCAGAGCTTACTCCTGGCCCTGCACTCAGGGATCACTGCTGGCAGTGCTTGGGGGGCTATGGGATGCCATATGGAATGCCGGGGATCGAACCCAGGTCGACTGAATGCAAGGCAAGCGGTCTCCTCCAGCCCCATGATTCTGTGCTTTTAAAATCCAGTCTGCAGAACCCTTTCCCCGGTTTCATTCTCCTGGAGCTCCTGTTTCGTTCATGGTTTCAGTTTTTCCTGAATTGACTTTTTTTTTTTTTTTTAACTCTCAGATTTTGGGGAGCTGAGTAAAAAATTGGCTGAGGTGTGGAAGCAGCTACCAGAAAAGGACAAACTGGTAAGTACACCTTCGAAAACAAACACTTTTTATTTTATGGCTGTGTGCCTTTCCAGTTATGGTCTCCTACAGACTCCCAGCCAAACCACACTGCACAGTGGGGCCCTGGGGAGTGGCTTAGCCGGGCACGGAAGGCACTGGCCGGTGCCAGCCTCCACCCTCGGGGAAGATCTGGCTACAGAGGAGCTTGGCTTTCCTCTCCCTGTTCTTTCCCCCACTAATATTACCGTGGAGCCAAAAGACTTGGGCTGCGGTCAGAATCTTTTCCTGGGGACTCCTTGGTCAGCCTCTTCCTAGTTACTGCAGGTGCTGACCAGGGCGGGCAGGTGGCCGTCCTCAGCCGTCGCTGCCAAGCTTGTCACACGGTGCGGCCGCCCTCGTGTCAGTGGTCACTGGCAGTGGCAGATCTCCACATCGTCCATCTCACTCGACGGCAGGAAGGGAGATGGCCTTGCGATCGCAGTGACCGTCTTTCCTAGGGGGGTCTCCTCACCCAGATAAAGCAGTTCCAGTAATTTTTTTTTTTTTTTGCCCCAGTCTTGAGTCTCTGGTCAATCGCCCTCTGACCCTACTAGCCAGTGATGAGAAAAACACTCTTGAAACCACACAGACATTTATTTCGTCGGTCCAGTTTTTCAGAACACTCTAAACTAATCAATTCCACTGTCTTTTTTCTGCCCGGGGGTCCCTTCTGACCTGACCTGGTTTTCTTCCTGTACCCTTCACCTCCCCCACCCCCCCAACTCTTGAGCCCTCTGGTCTCGGTTTTCACCTAACACACAACGCCCCCCCGCCCTTGGAATATTCTGGGAGCCAGCAGGCCAGGAGCCCTGAGGACTGTCCTGTGTCCTAGGCTGAGCCGCTGCTGTGATCACAGCAGGCCCCGATCCAGTTCGCCCTCTGCCTGCCCCTCCCCCCCCATGCTCTTCTTACCTGTCTTTCCTCTTGACAGTTCCGTCCTTTTCAAGTTTCTTTTCCTTCCCTCCCACCTGGCCTGATACCGCAGATCTGGAAGCAGAAAGCTCAGTATCTCCAGCACAAGCAGAACAAAGCCGAAGCCACCACTGTGAAGAGGAAAGCGTCCGGCTCCGAGGGCGCGCTGCGCGGGAAAGGTAATGGCCCCATCCCTGCCCCTCCTCTCCCCCTGTCCCTTGAGCTCTCGACTGGCCTCCTTCCCCGGATTCCCAGAGAGCAGCCCCAGGTAGAAGCAGATCTTCTGCTCAGGTCTTGTTCTCTGACTATTAGAGGAATTTTAAAAGTGGACGGCAGGGGCTGGAGCGATAGCATAATGGGGAGGGCGTTTGCCTCGCACGCGGCCGACCCGGGTTCGATTCCCAGCATCCCATAGGGTCACCCGAGCACCGCCAGGGGTCATTCCTGAGTGCAGAGCCAGAAGTCATTCTTGCGCATCACCAGGTGTGACCCAAAAAGAAAAAAAAAAGAATAAAAATAAAAATGGAAGGCAGAAGTCAGTCGGCATTCTCTGTAAAGAGCTTGTGAAGGGCCAGAGTCATGGGACAATGGGGGTGGGGGGTTTGCCTTTATACGCAACCGACTCGAGTTCAGTCCCTGGCGTCCCAAGGGTTCCCCAAGCACCACCAGGTGTAATTTCCTGAGTGCAGAGCCAGGACTAAGCCCTGAGCATTGCCAGGTGTGAACAAAAAAACAAAAACTGATAAAAAAAAAAAAGAAAGAAAGAAAAGCTAGTGAGTGTTTCAGGCCTGTCCTATATTCTGTGTCGTTTCTACCACCTTTTTACAAATGTTAAAAATAGGTCATGGGCCAGTTGCGGCCCTCAGGCCATCATCGTGCTAGCGCCTGAGACAGTTCACGGGAAGGGAGAATGCGGAAAGATGTCGTTTGAGTGCTCCGAGCTATAGACCAGTTCGATTTCGCTCCCTTTCCCCCTCTCCTGGTCGCAGCCTCTTCCGCAGGAGTGCTCTCGCCCCAGAAGAAATCCCCGCCCACCACCATGCTGTTACCTGCCTCACCCGCCAAAGCCCCTGAGACTGAGCCCATTGATGTCGCTGCTCACCTCCAGCTGTTGGGAGAATCTCTGAGCCTCATTGGCCACCGCCTGCAGGAAACGGAGGTGAGTACCAACCGGCTGCGGTTTCGGCTTCTGATAGGCTGTGAGTTCTGTCACTCACTCTGTAGGCCATCCTCCCGCAGAGAGTTGGTGCTGGTGTATTCCGGCTTCTGATAGGCTACAAGTCCTGTCACTCACTCTGCAGGCCATCCTCCCGCAGAGAGTTGGTGCTGGAGTACTCTGGCTTCTCATGGACTGCGAGTCCTGTCACTCTATAGGCCATCCTCCCACAGAGTGTCAATGCTGGACTACTCTAGACGCAGTGTTAGAGAGGATTCCTGCTAGTTGAAGTATCTAGAGGCTTCGAATCCATCTGCTGGCTTTCAGGGTTTATACTGATTCCATCTGGTTGAAAGAGTAGCTCATAAAGAGTTGAAAACGACTTCGACTCTTTTTTTCGGAGGAAGGGGCCATGCCCATCAACGTTGGCTCAGGGCTTATTCCTGGATCTGTACTCAGGGATCGCTCCTGACGGGGCTCAGGAGAACATCGGGGGTACAAGAGATCGAACTCGGGTCGGTTCCATGCCAGGCAAGTGCTCTACCCACTGCACTAGCTCTCTGGCCCCTCCAAGTTTTATTAGAACATAATTGACATGGAACCCTAGACTGTCTTTCCCGAAGTGCAAGAGGAAAGATAAGTGAAGACCCCGTGAAAGTTTTGATAGTTTTTTCCTTAGAAGAGTTTGGCGTCTCGGACCTGTGCATTTCTAATCAGGTCTTAAATAGGCAGGTTCAGTTGTAGAGGGGATTAAGAGTTCTCAGCTTGAAAAATAAGTCGCAAATAGGGAGATCACGCTTCATTATTCTGCACTTGAATCTTACGTTGCCGGGTGCCCGAGGGAGAGCGTTGTTCTTTCAAGCTTCAGTTTCAGAACCTCTGAATCTCCAGAGGCGTCGTGTTCCATTTCAGATTTAGTTTCCCTCCTTGGCTAACTCCGTGTTGTAGTGTTTCCATATTTCACTGGATCTTAAGAGTATTTCATTTCAGCAGAGAAATCATACTACGCTACCAAAGTGTTTTTGGTTTGTTTTGCTTTGGTTTGTCTTTTAAGCCCAAAACTGGGAACTCTTCACTTCTCTTTGGGAGTTAGAGGGGGTAGGACCTGGGCCACATTTGGCAGCCCTAGGGTACTATTACGAGCTCTGTGCTCAGGGGTTTCAGGGAGACTCGTAGAAGCAGCTCGAGGGACCATGTGACGAGGGACCTCACCAGAATTGGCTGCTTGCAAAGCGGGTGCCTTCACCCCTGTCCTGTCATTCTGGCCCTGGAAGCTGCCTTATTATTCAACAAATAAAATGTCACAGACCACGGAAGATGACGCTCTGTGTAAATTCTCAGACCAGCATCCAAATAAGTTGGGCAGCTTCTAAATAAATAATATACTTTCGCGTGCACCCAAATACGTGAATGGACTTAGAAATTTCCCAGAACATATTTATGGGATTCTTGGTTGTCATGTTCACAGTCTTATACTTCCTAAAAAGGTAAAAGTAAAAATTTGTGTTTTGTTTTGTTTTGTTTTCTTTCACCTTCCTTGTTCTAGATTTTCCCTGATAGATTATTCCGCCCGGTTGATTTGTTGAGTCCCTAGGCACCGTGCCAAGAACTTGAGTAGGAACTCGGAATAGTTTCCCCCTGGCTTCCTGTCATTGCGATCTTAGCATTTTACTGGAAAGATAGAATGTCTCCATGATTAGGGACTTAAACAAGCCAGTTCCTGTAAGTTGGAACCGCGAGTTACATGGACCCAGGGACCAGAAAAAAGGGGACCAAGTTTCAAGATTCTTGGTTTACTTTAACATTCTTGCTAAGATGAAATGTACATAGCATAGCATGAAACGTACATACCTTTTTTAAATATAGCATTTAGTATATGTGTTAGTATATTCAGTAACGAGAGCGATAGCACAGCGGGTAGGGCGTTTGCTTTGCACGCAGCCAACCCAGGTTTGATTCCTCCATCCCTCTCGGAGAGCCTGGCAAGCTACCGAGAGTATCTCGCCCGCACGGCAGAGCCTGACAAGCTCCCCGTGGCATATTTGATATGCCAAACACAGTAACAACAAGTCTCACAATGGAGACGTTACTGGTGCCCGCTCGAGCAAATCGATGAACAACGGGAGGACGGCGCTACAGTGCAGTATATTCACACAGTTGTGAACCAGGCACTGCTATGGAATTTCGGAACATTTTCACCAACCCCAAAGAAACCGCGTGCCCACTAGTAATGCTCCATCCGCCCTTTTGGCCACTCTCCCCCTAGACTGAATCATTTGCAAGTATTCCCGCATTTTTGCCATTTCTGTGAAGCACTTACGCTGTCATTTGCCTTCTCTTTGTACTTAAATGGGTCCTTCTCTTCACCCTGGTGTCCTTGGTATATCATGAGCACAGGCTTCGTTTTTAGAATGCCCATCAGAATGGGTCCGTGCCTAGGCAATTGCCGTTTACCTGTAGCCTGCTTGCCACCTGGGTTGGGTCGCTACTTGAAGGAACTTGGACTGACGTCATTTGCCCATCTCCAGCTTGGGTACCTGAAGCCGAAAGGGACTAAATGGCTGTTACCACTTTGCCCATCCGCTTGTGACCAGCCCAAGTGGCCTCCCTTCTGCTTTTTGGGTCACACCCAGCGATGCACAGGGGGGCACAGAGCCGGAGGCAGAAAGGACGTTAGGTGTCACGATAGCCGTCAGGCTCACGTGTGCCAGGCGGCATCTCGAGTCCTATATTTCTGTCCTGGGGCTGCACCCCGCAGTGCCCAGGAGACCTGCCTCGCGGTGTTTGGAGGACCGTGCGTGGTACCGGACCAGCAGCCGAAGCAGAGTCCGGTCGTGACCTGGCGTGACTTAACCTTCGTACTACCTCGCCGGCGCCCCCCGCACCGCGTGTTTCTTTCTTTTGGTTTGGGGGCCGCAGCTGGCAGTGCTCGGGGACTCCTCCTGGCTCCGTGCCCCAGGCAATGCCGGGGATTGAACCGGGTCCTCCTGCGTGCAGCACCCTGGCCCTGCTCCAGTCTGGAGCCTGGCACGCTGTCTCCCCAGCCCCTTCTGCCTCTTCCTGCGCCTGATCGCCACTGGTGGCAGCTGCCGTTAGTGCGGGCTTCAGGGACCCAGCGTGGCCAGCCGCCCGTCCGTCCACCTGCCCGCCGCGGCAGCCCAAGCACAGCAGCCCAGAGCTCCTTCTCTCCGGCGCTCTGCTTCGTGCCGGCGCTCGGTTGGGGCACGATCCTTGGGGGGGCTGGCGGCAGGCTGGCGACAGGCGCTGGGAGTCACCAAGACACGCACACGCAATCTGAACGGGATCCAAGGTGGGGATTTTGAGCTGAACCAAATGCACGTCTCTCCCAGAGACTGCTGGCGTCTTCTCTAGGCAGCCGCCCCTGTGGAGGGGTGTGTGCTACACGGGAAGGCTGGCATGCGGGTTACTGACCCTGGTGGTGAGTGCGAGGGAGCTGTCCTTGCAGGAATGAAAAGAAAACAACTAGGGGACATGGCTTTGTAGTCGAGGGCCGGCCTTGTCTGTGTGAGGCGCTGGGTTCAATCTCTGGCACTCCAAAAGGAACCCAAAAAAAGGCAAGAAAATTACTTCTGGGGGCTGGAGTGATAGCACAGCGGGGAGGGCGTTTGCTTTACACGCAGCCGACCCGAGTTTAATTCCCACCATCATCCCATAGGGTCCCCTGAGTACCTCCAGGAGTAATTCCTGAGTGCAGAGCCAGAAATAACCCCTGTGCATCGCCGGGTGTGACCAAAAAGCAAAAAGAAAAAAATTACTTCTGGTGCCAGAGAGACAGTCCAGCAGGTCAGGCACTTGCCTTTCACACGGCCAACTCTGGTTCGGTCCCCAGCATCCCCTCCAGTTCCCTCCCCTGAGCACCACCAGGCTGGTCTCTGAGTCTCTGAGTGCAAAGAAAGCAGAAAATGACTTCTTCTACATACTTGATCTCCACATGTCTTCCCCAAAGCCCTCGAGGGCTGGAGTTGCTGTTAAGTGACTGCTCCCAGGTCTCTGAGAGGGGACGATGGGTTGGGAGCCTCTCCTGCACTGCGGGCCTTCTTTCTTAAGCAACTTAGGAGAGTTGTGGGAGCAACTGTCCCAGGTGGTGGAAGTGGCTTCGTGCTAGAACGGTCACCCTGTTAGGCATGAGAAACCTCATATTCAGTCGTGGCACCACACACACGCGCACGCACACACACACACATGAACATACTCGAGCACTCACCCTAGTAGATGTGAGAAAGCTCTCATTCACTTGTACCACACGCACACAACACATAAACACACATCACACTCAACACCATACACAGACACACATGAACATGCTCAAGCGCTCAAGTAGGTATGAGAACGCTCGAGTCTAGTTGTGGCACACACACACACACACACACACACACACACAGTCGGCAGATCCCTTCTGTTCCTGCTGAGTTCTCACAGGGTCGCCCAGGTTTACAGAGCAGCGTGAGCGACCCCGGCCCGGGGGAGCCTGGGGCAGGGGTGGGTCGTCCCCTTGCTCAGCTGCCCCCCTCCGCAGGGCATGGTCGCCGTGTCTGGCAGCCTGTCTGTGCTGCTGGACTCCATCATCTGTGCCCTCGGCCCCCTGGCGTGTCTCACCACTCAACTACCTGAATTGAACGGCTGCCCCAAGCAGGTCTTGGTGAGTTTTCCTGTGTCTTTCTTTTATAAAAGAGAGAGAGAGAGAGACAGAGAGAGAGACAGAGAGAGAGAGTGTGTGTGTGTGTGAGAGAGAGAGAGCATGTATGTGAGTGCGTGTATGTGCACATGCGTGTGAGTTGAGTGTGTGTATGTGTAAACATGTGTGAGTGTATGTGTGTGTGCATGTGAGTGCATGGGTGTGAGCATGTGTGAGTGTGTGCGTGTGTGTGCGCGTGTTTGTGTGTGTGTGTGTACGCATGAGCGTGTTTGTGTTATGGGGTGGGGGGAGGGTGGTTGTTGGCCAGGCCCTGACGCGTGTAGCTTCCTGGCACCCGGCTCCCGCTTCGTGCGTTGCTCCCTGGGACCTGAGCCCACCACGGTGTTGAGTGCTCGCCAGCGCCCAGTGGAGCTGGAACACATGCCGCGCCCAGACGGTTCCTTGGAGGGAGGCACAGAGCCCTCTGCAGCAGCAGCAGTGCTGCCGCTCGCGTTTCCCACCCCCTCTTGCAAGCGAGGCCCGCCTGAGCGGTGCCAGCACCCTGCGTCTCGCCCTCCGCCTTCTCGGCTGGTCCTGTGCGCAGAACCGCCGCTCGGGGAGCTCAGGTAGAAGTGTGTTCCGACGGACCCCCCTCTGCCTTGTCTTGCAGTCCAACACGCTCGACAACATCGCGTACATCATGCCGGGACTGTGACGGGAGCCCGCCCCACCCAGTGCTGGTTTGTGTATGTGACTGTTCCAGACCCCTTCGCTGGCCTCTGGGGCTTGGTTTTAAATTTTTATATGTAGATACACACACACACATATAATGTGTAATATATACATAGGACTGTAACTACTACTTTGCTTTTAATAATTGTATGAAATGGCAAAAGATTTAGCCAAGAGAAAACCTTGGCCTGAATAGGGTTGTCAGATTCTTTTTTTTTTTCTTCTGTGGTGGATATTTCTGCCTTAAAAATCAGTGTAACTTGGGGGCCGTGGGGGGGCGGAGCTTGTTCCGGGTGCCACGAGCAACTCCTGACGGACGGGCTAGAATGTGATTTTTTTTTTTTCCCCTGAGACTCGGTGGTACCTCCAGACCCATCACTGACCATTTGCCTTACCTGTCTCACAGTCCTCAGTGTGATAGGAAAGATCATGGGAAGGTGCCAATGAGCTGCAGGTACCGAGGACAGCGCTTTGCCATTCAGAGTGACCCCAGGAGGCCGGGGGGCTGAGCTGGGGCGGAGGGGCTCGTCCTGATTCCTGCCACACGAGTGTCCGTGTCGTAAACCCGGTCGGGATCCTTGGTACCGAGGCAGCCCCCGCAGAAGCCATGGCATCACCCAGTTTGCCCGGTCCACATCGAACACCCGGGAGGTTAAAGCTGCTGGCGCCTGGAAGGGGCCTCTGGAAACTTAGCAGAAATCCCGCGCCCGGGATCGCCCCTCCGCCACGGAGGCCTCCCGGCTTCACCGTTGGGCTACTTTGTGTTGGTGATGGAAGATGAACTTTCCGCAGCGTGACTTTTGAACTTTTGAGCTCATCCTACAGGCTGCCCCGCCGTGGGCAGGCCCACAGTGGTCCTGCCCTCCTCCACACGCAAGTCAGCTGCAAAAAAAAAAAAAGAAAACAGAAAACAAAAAAACAAAAAAAAGAGTACCTGATTCTTGTCTAGATTTATTTATGTGTGCGTGTGAATGTATGTTTTAATTATGTGTATTTAACTCTTCCGGATCTTAGATTTTAATTTATCCTGTAAATTTCTGTACATATAATTTAATAACAAAAGCCCCCACCAGCAGCGGCGCCCAGCAGATCCAGATTTGTCTCTTGCTCCTCCCCCCACCCCACCCCTCCCCATCCCTGCCCCCTGCCCCTCTGGTCTCCGCTGAGCAGTTCCGGTCATCATCGGCTTCCAGATGAAGGTTTCGCGCCTCACCCAGACAATAACAACAACAACAGCCGCAATCATTCTGTTCAGATTCTCGTTCTTGGTCGGGAATGTCACCGCCTTCAGGAACAGCAGGAAGTGAGATACAAAGGGACGGTTCCATTCGCAGCTGCCTCCATGTCCAAAGACCCTTGCGTGTCCCGCACGGCTGACACCTCCTTGCCCAGGAGGTGGGAGCATCCTGCCTCTCGGCTCTGCCTACCCCCTGCCCGAGCAGGACCCCTGAGGCATCAGTAGATCCTGGGATGGGCCACGGCCCATTCCACAGGGCAAAGACTCCCGACGGCATTCAGCATGCCCTTTTTCAGCTCAGCAGAGTTGGGGGCATTTAATTGAGGAAACAGAAGGAAACCGGAACGCCCGAGACCCAGGAATCAACCAGAGCAGAAATCTGGGCTCGACGTCTGAGCCAGGACCCAGTTCCCCAAGAGTGACCTGGGCCGCGGAGGGTTGGTCAAGACCCGGATCGGGGCACAGAGGGGCCAGCCCCACTCCCGTGGCCATTTGTACACACTCATGAATGTCCCCGGCCCACCTCCAGGCCGACTTTCCATCTGTCCGCATCCCTCGGAACCTCCCCCACGCTGTTGTCTTTGTATTTAAAATTTGTACACATTTGTATAGTGTTCTGTACCTGGCAGCATTTGGTACTAGCAGAGGAGAAACTTTGGATCCAGACCTTCTTGCAGTTTTTTATATCATTGTTTTATTTCATTTTTTTAAAATAAATTCTAGCGGTTTGATCCAAACCCCATGACAATTGTATAAAGAAATAAAATTTTGTACTTATATTATTAAAAAAAGATCACATTTTTTAATATTTGTCGTCCAGTCTCGGGCATCTTTTTCCCTGCTGCTACATGAAGTCAGGAGGAAGTGAGGAGATCACATTCTACTGTGATTTTCTTAGGAAAGAAAATGAAGGCGGGTGGAGGGGTAGCCTGGGGTAAAGTTGCTTGGCTAACCCTGGGTTTATCCTTGGCACCACACATGGCTCTGAGTACTGCCAGGAGACCAGGAATGTTCCCCACCTTCTCCCCCCCACCAAAAAAAAAAATAGGGGTTTGGAGCAATAGCACAACGGGTAGGGTGTTTGCCTTGCATGTTGCCGACCCGGCTTCGATTCCCAGCATCCCATAGGGTCCCCCCGAGCATTGCCAGGAATAATTCCTGAGTAACCCCTGAGCATCACCGGGTGTAATCCAAAAAGGAAAAAGAAAAAAAAAAGTTCCCCCGTAAGATAGTGTCAGTGTGTGTCTTCAGGCTTGTAGCCAGCCAGCATGATACACTCAGTAATATTGTAAATAGGATATACGGAAACTGGAACTTACAAAGTAAAGATTCCAGTGTAGGGGCCAGTACAGTGGGTAAGGCACTTACCTTGCACATGGCCGACCCGGGTTCTGCCCCCCACACCAGTATGGTCCCCCTGAGTCCCTCCAGGAGTTATCCAGGAAAGCAGAGTCAGGAGTAAACCCTGAGCACTGCTGGGCATGACCCCGAAACACCAAGATTCTACTGTAAACACACTAGTAAGAACTATAAAATGTGAGAGGAATGAAGAAATGGTTTAGGGCCGGAGCGATAGCACAGCAGGTAGGGCGTTTGCCTTGCACGCAGCCAACCCGGGTTCAATTCCCAGCATCCCATAGGGTCCCCCGAACACCACCAGGAGTAATTCCTGAGGTCAGAGCCAGGAGTAATCTGTGAGCATCGCTGGGTGAGACCCAAAAAGTAAAGGGGAAAAAAAAAGATGGTTTAGTGGCGAGGGTGCTTGCCTTGGACCCAGCAGAGTTCAATCCCCAGCATCCCAGGTGGTCCCCTGAGCCCCACCAGGAGTGATCCCTGAGTGTAGAGCCAGGAGCCAGCCCTGAGCATCACCAACTGTTTACCCACCCACCCGCCAAAAGGAAAAAGGATCAAACATAATGTTCTATTTAATGGGTGTTGTACTGTGTTTAAGGTTTGCCATTTACCTTCCCATCATGTTGACGGTCTCCACACAGCTCCATTTCTGATTGACTAGCTCTTGTATAGATGGAGGTCCTGTGATTCTGCTTCCTGCCAAGGCTGTTTGGGACTAGAGAGCTGGGTCCCAGACCTCTGGAGCAAATAGCTTGCTTCAGGGGAAACCCCCAGACCCCACACCTCAACACCTCCAGACGGGCCACTGAGACTTCTGGGTAGTAAGACTTAAGGGTGGACTGGAGCAATAGTACAGCAGGTAGGGCGTTTGCTTTGCACGTGGCCAGCCCGGATTCGATTCCCAGCATCCCATAGGGTCCCCCAAGCACTGCCAGGAGTGTGGAGCCAGGAGGAACCCCTGTGCATCACCGGGTGTGACCTAAAATGATCACGATCATGATCATCCTGTTGTTCGTCGATTGCCTCGAGGAGGCCCCAGTAACGTCTCCTTCGCCCTGGCCCTGAGATTTTAAAAAGTGCCATATTCAAGGATCTTTCAGGGTTAGGAGAATGAGACCCATCATTGTTACTGGTATTTGGCATATTGGGTACGCCACGGGGAGTTTGCCAGACTCTGCCGTGTGGGCAGGTTACATTCGGTAGCCTGCCAGGTTGTCCAAAGTAAGAATGAGATAATAAGATATTGCGCAGCCGCGAAAAAAAAAGAAAAGATACTTAAGGGTAATAATAATAAGGCTACCGAAAGTATCCTGCCCGCACGGCAGAGTCTGGCAAACTCCCCGTGGCGTATTCAATATGCCAAAAACCAGTAACAATGGTGGGTCTCATTCTCCTGACCCTGAAGGAGCCTCGAATCTGGTGGCACTTTCTGAAATCTCAGGGCATGGACGAAAGAGACGTTACTGGTGCCTGCTGGAGGAAATCCATGAACAACAGGATGACAGTGACAGTGAAGGGTAATAATCCCTTTAAACCAGAGTGGTGGGGGATGCAAGATCTTGTAAATCAGCCACCCAAGTGTTTAGGGCAGGTCTTGGAAGAATCCAAAGAAGAATCCAAAGGGAGTCCACACTAGGAAGATTCAGGAGGCACCTGACACAAAGGTTATCCTGCACACCCTGCTTCCACCCTGCTCTACCTGATCCTCCAAACACCACTGGCATGTAGGGTGGCTTCCATTTCCCAGGTAGTCATTCATTGTGCTGAGACAGCAGTGGTGAGCTGGAGAGACAGAATCCCAGCCTTCAAAGGGCAGTAAAACCAGCCACGGGGCATTTGATAAGAGCTTTATTTCTGCCCAGCCAGGATGGAATCTAGGGCCTCACACTGGCACGGCAAGCTCTGCACAGAGCCTCTGATGACCAGACACTTCCAAGTCGAGATGTGTCACTTCCAATAAAGTGTTTATGTCATACAATAAAGATGCCCGGCCTCACAGCTGCTCAAACAAGTTCTTAACACAGGAGTGATTAAGACCTAATTGAGGTTTGCCGCTGTCCTAAATGAATGTGAGCTGAGTCAACTCAGCCTTGCAGATTTTAAAAATCGCAATCGCTCCGTTCTTGTGCAGAGTGTTCATTTCCAACTATTATTGTCATACTGGACCCTTCTCTATCTTAACTACCCTCCACCCCCACACACACACTCGTAGTAATTTCCAACCATTGACCTGAAAAGTCCCCCTAGTCCTCATTTCATGATAGCACTGTAGCACTGTCCTCCCATTGTTCATCAATTTGCTCGAGCGGGCCCAGTAACGTCTCTATTGTGAGACTTCTTGTTACTGTGTTTGGCATATCGGATACGTCACGGGGAGCTTTCCAGGCTTTGCCGTGTGGGCGAGATACTCGGTAGCTTGCCGGGCTGATAACCTATCAGTATTTGTATCACAAAACACAATACCCAAAATAGAGAGAAGAGGTGCCAGCTATAGAAGCAGTCCGAGATGGGGTCAGTTGAGGGTGGGTGGAAGCGAAACTGGGGTCATTGGTGCTGGTAAAGTACACTGGCTGAGGGATGGATGTTGGAACATTATATGACGGAAAGCCAATCATAAACAACTTTGTAATGCTCTGCCTCACAGGGATTCAATTTTTTCAAAAATATATCACAATCACAACTAAAACATGACTTGGGGAAGATAGAAGCATGCCTTGTTGCAATAGTTGGGATAGGAAAGCGAGCCGAATGCTCAGTGGCATGAATGGATCAAGAAGTTCTGGTCTGTGTACTCAGTGGAATAGTATGCAGCTGTAAAAAAAAATAAAATCTTGCAGTTTGCTGCATCATGAATGGAACTTAAGAGTGTCATGTTAAATAAAATAAACCAGAGGGAAAAGGACAAATACTGGATGATCTGACTCAACTATGGCTTATAGAGAAACAAAACACAGGACTAGACAGTATAAGGCCATGATAAACCCCTTTGAGTACAAAACTCAGATTAACCTGCGGGGGAGGGAGAAGGGACTAGAGGACTGGTGATCTTGGGTACGTTGGTGATAAACATGCATCAAAACACTTTGTTTTTGTTTGTTTTCGGGTCACATTGGGTGATGCTCAGAGGTTACTCCCGGCTGGGAATTACTTCCTGAGGGGCTCTGGGGACCCTATGGGATTCCAGGGATGGAACCCTGGTCGGCCGTGTGCAAGGCAAGCACCCTACCTGCTGTACTATTGCTCTGGCCCCAATATCAAAACAGTATTATAACTATGTTACCTAAATATGGTTACCAAAAAAAAGTGGGGTTTTTTTTTACAGCCACAATCATCAATAAATACTAAAATACCCACAATCATCAATAAATACTAAAATACCTGCGGTAGCCCCAACTATCATACCAGTGGTCATGTTTTGTTTTTGTGATTTGGGGGCCACACCCGGCAATGCTCAGGGCTTACCCCTGGCCCAGGGGTCAGTACTGGCAGGCTCAGAAGACCACATGGGGCATTGGGGATTGAACCCTAGTCAGTCATGTACAAGGAGCAAGCCCCTTACCTGTTGTGCTATTACTCCAAAGGTCTTGCTTTTTAGAAGATAAAAAATGTAGAGATTTCAGGCTAGAGCAATAGTACAGTGGGCAGGGCTCTTGCCTTACATGCAGCCCACCTGGGTTCACTCCCCTGCACCCCATATGGTCCCCAGGCCTACCCACCAGCAGTGACCCCTGAGTGCAGAGCCAGGAGGATACCCTGAACACTGCTGGGTGTGCCTTCATCACCATCACCATCACACCACACCCCGGGAGGGGGAAAAAAAAATTTTTTTTCTGGTGTGTGGACAACATCCAAAACAGGAAGTTTGAAGGAGATATTAAAAGTAGAAAAGTGGGAAAACCTGGGATTAACCTGGCGGTCCCTGCTGTGCTTTGAGATTCCCAGAAACTCCCTGGGATTAAATTAGATCCCTGCCACTTTCCTTCAGAAAAGTTTGTGGCTTCCTTCAAATTCTCCAAGAAATGAGACCATTATAAACAACAACAACAATGGGGCCTGAGTAATAGTACAGTGGGAAGAGCCTTTGCCTAACAGCTGGCACAAAGGTCGACCAAGGTTCAATCCCCAGCATCCCATAGGGTCCCTGGAGCCCTCTAAAAGTAATTCCTGAGTGCAAAGCCAGGAGTAACCCCTGAGCACTGCTGGGTGTGACCCAAAAAGCAAAGCAATAAACAAATAAATAATAAGGTCTAGAGAGATAGCACGGTGCGGTAGGGCGCTCGCCTTGCGCGCAGCTGACCCGGGTTCAATCCCCGGCATCCCATAGGGTCCCCTGTGCAACCGCCAGGAGTAATTACTGAGTGCAGAGCCAGGATTGACCCCTGAGCATCGTTGAGTGTGGCCAAAACAACAATAATTGCATAACACTTTTTTGGTTGGGGAGCCACACCTGGGCATTCTCATGAGTCACTCCTGGGCGGCGCTCGAGGCACCCGACGGGACGCCGAGGATCGAACCCACGCCCGCCACGACGTTCAAGCCTGCGCTGTCCCGGCGGCCCTACCCAAGTCACTCCCAGGCAATTTCGCGGCAGGCCACGCCCCGCTCGGCGCTTGACGGGCGTCTGGGCCCGAAGGCCACGCCCCCAGACCGTGTGGCTTCTTTCCGCTCTTGGGGGCGTGGCCCGCCTCCCGGAGCCACGCCCCCTCGGCGCCTGACCGGTGAGTGAGCCCGGAAGCCACGCCCCCAGGCCGGGTGGCATCATTCCCGCCCTCGAGGGCGGGGCCCGCCTCCCAGAGCCACGCCCCCGCAGCGCCAGACCGGTGAGTGGGCCCGGAGGCCACGCCCCCAGGCCTTGTGGCGTCATTCCCGCCCCTTGGAGGCGGGGCCCGCCTCCCGGGGCCACGCCCTCCCCGGCACCTCCTCGCGGGCCGGCCGGCGCGTCACGTGACGGCGGCTCGGCGGCGCCGGCGGTTTGCTGTCAGCTGATTCCCCGGGTCGGTGGCAGCGGCAGCGGTGGCCATGGACTTTCTCCTGGGGAACCCGTTCAGCTCCCCGGTGGGACAGCGCATCGGTGAGTCCCCGGAGTCGCAGGCTGCCTCTGCGCTGGGCTCCGCGTCGGGCTGCGCCGCCCCCCAGGGGCGCCCCGGGTCCCCGGCGGCCGCGGCCGAGGCGGCGGGGAGGTGGACAAGGTTGGCGTGTCTCTCCCCGCACCTGGCCCCGCCCCCCTCTGATTGACACGGGCCGCCGCCCAGTAGGAGGCCGCGGCTGGTGACGGATGCTCACGGCCGCCAATGGGGGCCGCGGGGGGGCGGGCCCGCGGCTCCGCACGGGTCCAGCTTGCTGGGGTCGCGAATCCTGGGAGAAACTTTTCCGGGGGGGTTAAAGGGACAGTGTGATTGATTCCCTTGGACCCTCCCCGCTTCGACTGTTTCCCTCTTGCCTTCCTCGGCCCTGCTCCGCCCACCCACCCCACCCCCCGCCTGGACTCACTCCTGCCTATTCCTTCCGGCCTTCCCGGACCTTCGGGACACGGGTACCACCCCGAGGAGGGTCCCCGTTCTCCGGGTTGGGGGGCAGCCAGCCTCTGGGGCTGCAGTCCGCGCGAGCCACGTGCGGGCAGCCCCGGCCTGCACCGGGCTCCTGTCCTGGGGCCTCGCGGAGCTGCCAGGGGTCTTAGCGACCACCTGTCGTGGTCTCCCGCGCATTTCCCAGTCGCTGGGAGGGGATGGTTGGCCCCAGGCGCGCCGGCCTATTCCGTGCCCCGACCCCCGACCCCCTAACCCCCCCCCACTGGCGGGAGGCCAGGTCGTCTCGCCTGTAATCACGGGGGTATAATGGGCCCTCCCAGCGCCTTAGTATTGCGGTGAGGATTAAGGGCGTTGATAGGTGCACTGGGAAGAGTGGACAGCCACTGGCCGGCAGCATTGAGTTTCTAGAATGAAGTGCTGATGTGCGGTGGGGGGTTCTGAGAAGTTTCCCGGACAGTGCGGCGCTCAGGGACCCGCCCCACAGCCCTGGGAGGCAGCCTGGGTGTGCCCCATCCTGCTGGGAGAAGTCACCGCAGGACTGTGTTGGTTTGCGTTCTGGATGGTTTTGAGGGTCTCAGTGCAGACATTGCAAACACTGGAGCGTTTTGATTGGTGTGGGTCGGGTGAGGGGCTTGGGGGCTCCTCCCAGCTGGGGGGGGGGGGGGGGTACCATTCAGTGCCGCAGGTAGATCACTGTTAGTCCTCCCCCATGCAAAGCATGCGCTCAGCCCCTTTGCTCAGCCAAACGTTGGATCTGTAAAACTAGATATGCTTTCGATGCCTTCGGTCTCAGAAGCCAAAAGCTCACTAAGGTCCGTCTCCTTTGCCAGGGTCTCTGTGACGCGCTGGCTCTGTGGCTTTTGTGCCGAGGGGGTCTGTGCGGGAAGGGATGGAGCTGGTGGATTTTTGCTCTGAGACTGTCCTCTCCGGACTGAATTGTATACACACACAGACGTGCACATACACACCCCAGTGTGAGTCATTGTTTTGGAGCTGAAAAGAAAAAGCAGCTCTCAGCTTCGTTTCTCCAAGCGGCAAGATACCACCGCTTTTATCCCGAGCCAAGTTTGAGACTTCCTTTTTTTGAGAAAACAGAAAAGGAAACGGGCCCTTTCGAAGGCAGACTCCCGGCTCCGAGGCTTTCTCGAAAAAAAACTCACCTGGACTCAGGGCTCCGGCTGGCCAGAGAAAAGTTAGTTTCTTTTCTCACCGCAAATGTCTGCTCCGGATCGAGGAGCATTTTGTCCAGAGAGAATGCTACTGGGCTGGAATTCCTTAGAACAGGGGGGGTCTTCAGCTGCCTGATCCCAGCCCCTTCCACCCCCTACACGGCCTGCAGGTGGGTGAAGGCTGGAAACCGGCGTCTGCCCGCTCAGAGCTCTAACCAGATTTCCCTGCTGGGAGCTTCTTGTTCCGTGGGTGCTCTGCAGACTCCCCCTGCATGCCTTGTTAAGGCCTGTAAGACTGAGCCATGCCCCCCACTTTCCTGATTCTGGAGGGCTGGAGGAATGGTGTGAGGGAAATCCAAAAATTTGTGTTTCTTTCTTTGTGGCTTTTTGGGTCACACCGAGTGATGCCTAGAGGTTCCTCCTGGCTCTGCGCTCAGTAGTCAGTGGTGGTGCTCAGGGAATCATAAGAGATGCCAGGGATCGAACCCCGGGTCGACCGCGTGCAAGGCTAACAACGCCCTCCCCTTGTCGTGCAAGGCTAACTATTGCTCCAGCCCCGAATTGGTGTTTCTGACCACCTCCCTGGGAGAGACCAGAACCCCTACACCGGCAGCCACAGATGGAGAACCTCTGGCGTCTCTCTGACTTCACACGGGTGGGGACTGACTCACTCAGGACCCCGGCGAATTGATGCTGAAGGGGAGAGAACTCCCAGAGCCTTGGCCTCTGGACGCACTAATGGCCAATTAGTGAGGCCGGGCTGCATTAGTGACCGCCCTGCTTATTCGAAGTCTAAGATAGAGTCCCCGCTGGGATATTCTGGTGGCCAGTGCGGGCGACTGCTGGCCCCACTTTGCATCGGTGAAAGAATCTCTAGGCCAAGTCCAGGGGCCAGAGCAATACGGGAAGGGCACTCGCCTTGCACACAGCCTGCCTGAGTTTGATTCTGGCACCCCAAACGATCCCCTGAGCCCTGCCAGGAGTGATCCCTGAAGACAAAGCCAGGAATCAGCCCTGAGCCCTGCCGGGGGGTGGGGGGGGGGGGGGGGGTGGCCCAGACATCAAAAAGGGGAGGAAAGACCGGCTCCATCCTTAGACTGAGAGAAGAGCCTCGTGATCGGCAGCACTGAGCGGGAAGGCCTAAGTGGGGGTCGTGTGGGGGCGCCCCTCAACGTGCAAGGTCCCCCTTAGCGCACACACGGCTTTGTGCTAGCTGGCCGTTCCCTGCCTCCATCCTGCAGAGTAGCCTTCAGAGCCCTGAGCACCACCAGCCACCTCCTCTCTGAGGCCTTCCTGGAGCTTTCCTCCACCCTCCTTAACCTTTGGACCCTGAGCTGGGGAGAGTGCAAAGCACCAGGCCATCTGGAGCTTAGGGACCAGACTGTCCCTCCTGCAGCCAGGTGGGAAGGAAGGAAGGGAGGCAGGGAGGGAGGGAGGGAGGGAGGAAGGGAGGGAGGGGAGACCCTGAGCAGATGCCACACTGGGATGCTGGGTACCACCTGCAAGCCTGAAGGGCAGGCCTCAGGGCAGAGGGCCGGAGCCCGGGCTGGGATCTCTGGGGGACACAAGTCACAGCTCCCTCCCGACTAGGTCCTGCCAGGGTCTGGAAGAGTAGCCAGTGAGGACGGGGACCCCAGGACCCAGGGCTGTGCTTGCAGCCTCTTCCTGCAGGGATGACCAGGCCGGCTCCTGCCCGCTCAGAGCCCAGGAATTCCACTCTCCAAATGGCAACCCCATCACACACACACACACACACACACACACACACACACACACACACTCACACTCACACACACACACACCCGGAACTGGGTAACCCCTGAAGCCCCGCCCCCAAAGTCAGGGTGTGAAGGATGAAGAGCTCAGGGCCACAGATGAGTCTGGGTGGGGAGATTGGCCTGGTGGCCATGGGCAGGGGTCAAAGGGGGATCTTTGTATGAGTAGTGAGGGACCCTTCTTGAGGATACTATTCCAGGAGAAGGTCAGCACCGGCCTGGATGCCCGGCACCTTCCAAAGATGGGCCTTGGAGTTGGAGCCAGAGCACAGTGGGGAGGATGTTTGCCTTGCACGCGGCCGACCCGGGTTCGATCCCCAGCATCCCACAGGGTCCCTCCAGCACTGCCAGGAAATTCCTGAGTGCAGAGCCAGGAGTAACCCCTGAGCATCGCAAGGTATGGCCCCAAAACCAAAAAAAAAAAAATTTTTTTTTAAATAAAAAAACAAAAATATACATCAAAGAGGGGCCTTGTGGGGCCCAGAGCCATAGCACAGCAGGGAGGGCGCTCGCCCTCCGTGTGACCCTCCCAGGTTCGATCCCCACCACCACCTATGGTCCCCTGAGCCCCACTCAAAGTGATCCCTGAGCACAGGGCTAGGAGTAGGCTCTGAGCATCCCCAGGTGTGGCTTTGTGGGAAAGAGCTGGGGGTGAGGGAGGGGCAGAAGAGGAGTCGGGGCTCCTGCAGGGGCCGGCGACCGGACTAGGCCAGAATCCTCAGGACTTGAGTCCGGGGAGGACACGAAGTTCCGCGTGTGTCTCGTTCCGAGCTTGCAGGCCCCGGGGCGTGGGCTGTTCTGGGCACGGGCTGTCCTGGGCACAGGGCGTCTCTCAGGCCGTCAGGTACCTGGGCAGGGCGGCTCTGTCCGCGGACACTGAGAGGAGGACGAGCTGGGCTCTCCACGGCTCGGGAAACGGTCTCAGGCCTCCGAGTACGTTTCTGACCCGTAAAGGCCTGGGCCAGGGGCAGACACGTGCTCGGCCGAGGGAACCAGCCGGTGGCTCCCAGGTCTCCCTGCCCAGTCAGAGGCGGTGTGAGGGAAGGTGGGGGGCATCTGTGTTCTCCAGGGCGGGGTCCCCTGCATCAGAGACACCGCAGGCTGCCCCTCGCCTGGGCCCTGGCTCCCACCCATGCCGGAGCCAGTGTCAGCCCCAACCCCTGAGGCCAGCAGGTCGTGTTCAGCCCTGAGCAGGGCTGAGAGCGGGGCGGGCATCGTTGAGATGGGCCACCCCGCCCCGTTCCGCCGCCCCGCTGTGTTACCCGGGAAAAGTGCTCAGCCTCTCTGTGCTTGGGTGCCCTGGCTCTAAGGTGAGGGCCGCATCCCTGATTGTATGCTGCCCGCCGTGGTGGTGCTTGGGGCCAGGGCTGGTCCGGCAGGTGGCAGCGCCAGGCACCTCCCCAACCTCTGAGCTGGCCAGGTGCGAGCCGGTCACGCGGCCAGATCGGGTTGCTGGGCCAGGGATGGACGTGAGGAGTAGGTTTTGTTCCCTCCGAGGGCTCAGAGAAACAGGAGGAAAGCCCTGGACGTCTGCCCTCCTGGTTTGGAGAAAAGGGGGGGGAAATACACCCCACAACAAAAACCCTCAGTGTCCTCTCGGGGCACGGGGCAGGGGCTGGGCTGGGTGTGCACCCTCGTGGCCTTGTCTAGCTGTCACCCGCCCCGGGCCACCTGGAGAGTGGCTTTTCGGTTCTCTTTTCTTTTCTCCTTTTTTTTTTTTTTGGCTTTTTGGGTCCCACCCAGCGATGCACAGGGGTTCCTCCTGGCTCTGCACTCAGGAATCACTCTTGGCGGTGCTCAGGGAACCCTATGGAGATGCTGGGAATCGAACCCGGGTCGGCCACATGCAAGGCAAACGCCCTCCCCTCCTCCCCCCGCTGTGCTCTTGCTCCAGCCCCCATCCTTTTTTATTTTAGTTCTTTTCTTTTTCCATCCTCGCTCATCCTGTGTCATTGTCTACAATAAATCGTGAGTTTAAGGAGCCAGTTCCTGGTCTTTTTTTAAATGGTGGTTTGTTGTGTTGTTTTTTTTTTTTCCCACTGTTGGGACTTTAAAGGAAATGCCTGACGCCCACAGCCTGTCTGCTTGGCCCCGAGCCCCCCCACCACCACCACGATCCCGGGGTTCGGGGTCTGAGTAACTCTTGCACTTGGATCTGGCCTCAGAGGTTGAGGGCCCAGTTGTCTGCTGTGCCCCGTCCCCCGTCTAACCTTGGGGCCCTGGGAAACTTGGCCCGACCCAAGGACAGGAACTGGACTGTGAGGAGAAGGTGCTGGAAGGCCGGAAGTGGCGGGCCTGGGGGGCAGAGGAGCCGGCCAGGCCATGGGAAGCCATGTGGGGCCGTGTGACCTGCAGCCATGTGAACCCGGGCGTGGCGCTCTCTCTCTCTCTCTCTCTCTCTCTCTCTCTCTCTCTCTCTCTCTCTCTCTCTTTCTCTCTCTCTCTCTCTCTCTCTCTGTGTGCCTCCTTGGCCAGACCACACCCAGAAATGTTACTCCAGGGACCAGAGCCATGCCTGACGCGGGTTCGATCCCTGGAACCCCCTAGGGTTTCCTGAGCACCACCAGGCGTGATCGCCGAGTGCAGAGCCAAGAGTGAGCTCTGAGCACCCCCCGGGTGTGGCCTAAACACCAAAAAAAAAAAAAGGGAAAAAAGTTATTCTTGATGTTTCTAGGCAATGGAACATTCCAGGGGTGACTCTGAGTGAAGCAGAGACACTCCGCAGTGGGATGGGCCTAATCCAGGCAGTCGGGGGGCCTCCAGAGAAGGCAGGCCGGACCCCCCCTCCCTCCCTATCCCCATAAATCGCCTTTACCTGCAGCTGGGAGCCAGGCCAGTGGCCATGTCCAGCCTGCTGACTGGCCACACGGAGTTCCACCAGCTTGTCAATATAAGAACCCTACAAGATAAGAATCAGTCCCTTGGGGCTGGAGCGATAGCACAGTGGGTAGGGCATTCGCCTTGCATGCGGCCCACCCGGGTTCGATTCCCAGCATCCCATATGGTCCCCTGAGCACCGCCAGGGGTAACTCCTGAGTGCAGAGCCAGGAGGAACCCCTGTGCATCGCTAGGTGTGACCCAAAAAAGGGAAAAAAAAAAGAATCAGTCCCTTACAGTAAGATCTTTCTTAGGAGGTAGAATGGTGGGCATGGGGGTCAGGGAAGAAATAGGCGTTAGACGTGGCAGTTAGTCACAAGGAGACCGGAAAGGGAAAAAAAAAAAAGGAGTGTGATCGGTCCTTCCAGACCCTTCCAGGCCATTCCAGACCCTTCCAGACCATTCCAGATCCTTCTGGACCATTCCAGACCCTTCCAGCCGGCTGCCCCCACCTGCCCCCTGGTTCCTGGATAGTTTTTAAAAGCGCTTCTTCCGCTGAGCCAGGCCTCCACTTGGCGCCCTGCTTGGTTCCTGCAGCTTTAAGCCGCATCCTCTGCGAGGTACTTGGAGAGTTCCTCTGTGGCCTGCGGTTACGACACGGCCAGGGGGACGAGCCGCCCGGGCTTTGAGGAAAGACTGCCTAGCAACCTCGGAAACGGCTGGAACTTTCCACGCCAGGGCTGGAAAGAGCCGTGCGTTTGGAAAGCGGCTCCAAGACCCGTTGGCTGGCTCGGAAGGAAAGTCCGCAGCCGCGTGCGTGCGTGACTCGCCTGTGATTTTGTGAGCGGCTCAGTCGTTGTTCAGCAGCGGTGCCATTTGGGGATCAAAGGTCCAGGAACTCACGGGAGGGGGGGGTCACACACTCCTCCCCTCCCCAGCTCGTCCCTTCCCCTGAGGGTGCGCTGGCGTGCCCGGTGTCCTTTGGAGAGAAGATGGGGTTGACATCCATCACGGTCTGTGCCCCCGCCTCACCTGTTACTGGGCGGTTGTACCCCACATGTCCCCAGCAGCTCCGCCCCTGGCGGGGGGGTGGCCAGGCCAGCAGGTGCCCTCTTCCAGCTGGTGGGTTGGAACTGGACCGCCACTGCTGGGGGACCTGGTGGCGAGGGTCTTTCCCGAGAAGAGCCAGCAGGTGAGCAAGGGCCCTGAGTCAGCTGCCTGCTGGCCTGTCCCGCTGACCAGCCCGTCACAGATGCCGCAGGACAGCAGGACAGATACGGAAGGCACAGGACACTTTTCCTTTTAGCTTTTGGACCACAGCCAGTGTTGCTCAGGGGTTATTCCTGGCTCTGTGCTCAGGAATTACTCCTGGTGGGCTCGGGGGGGAGGGGGGAACCCTATGGGATACCGGGATTGAACCCGGGTCAGCCACATGCAAGGCAAAACGCCCTCCCTGCTGTGCTATTGCTCTGTTCCTACCCCCTTGCAAGAAGCTTTTTTATGTTAACTTTTTTTGACTTTTTGGGTCACACCCGGTGATGCTCAGGGCTGCCTTCTGGCTCTGCACTCAGGAATTTCCCCCTGGTGGTGTTCGAGGGACCCTATGGGATGCCGGGGATCGAACCCGGGTCAGCCGAGTACACTGCCAACGCCCTCCCTGCTTGGATTGTCCCTCCAGCCCCACAAGAAACTTAAATTGGTTTTTCAAAGCATCAGTTTTTACAAAGCAGGGGAGGGCGTTTGTCTTGCACGCGGCCGACCCGGGTTCAATCCCCCGTATCCCATAGGGTCCCCCCGGGCACCGCCAGAAATAATTCCTGAGTGCAGAGCCAGGAGTCAGCCCTGAGCATGGCCGGGTGTGACTCAGAAAGCAATAAATAAATAAATAAATAAATAAATAAATACCGAGCCCCTCCCCCTCCCCCTCCAGGCTGAGGAGCGATGCCCTTTTGAAGCAGAATCTCTAACTATCCTGCACCCAGGGCCCCCTTCCTGCCTCCCTCCGCCCCCCACTCAGCTCCCTGAGGCGCCTTGTCCTGTTGCCTGAAGCTGCCACCCTCAGGCGTTGTCGCTGTCCCCACCCAGTGTCCCCACCACCCCAGAGGGCTGCCAAGTGGTGGCTGGCAGCTCCAGAGTGCAGACAGGGCGGCCCCGGGGCTTGTGGGTGGACCCTGAGCCAGGCCCGGGGTGGGAGGGGGCGGGGGGGGGGACAGTTCCTTGTGGGGGTTCAGGGGGCTGGACCCTCCTAAGCCACAGGCTCCCACCGGCCACTCCGCTGTGGCTCCTGCTGGTCCCTGAGCTGCTGTGCTGAACCCCCACGCCCCACCTCACCCCAGGAACGCTGCCCCCACTCAGAGACAGGTCCGGGGGCAGGGGTGAGCTGAATCGTGGGGACCAGAAGCCTCCTTCAGTCCTCAGGATGGAGGTCCGACAGTCCCACCAGGACCAAGCCCCTTACCTGCCCAGCCGGCAGAGGCTGGCGGGGCCCAGCCTGTCCCGTGGGTGCCGGGATGGGGGCAGGCATCAGGGAGGGCCAGCACTCTGCCCTTCCAAAACCTTCCTTTTTTTTTTTTCTTTTTGTGTCGCACCCAGCTGATGCTCAGGGGTTATTCCTGGCTCTGCACTCAGGAATCAGTCCTGGCGGTGCTCGGGGGACCATATGGGGTGCTGGGAATCGAACCCAGGTCGGCCGCAGGCAAGGCAAACGCCCTACCCGCTGTGCTATTGCTCCAGCCCCCAGAACCTTCCTGAGTGCTGGCACACAGGTCTCCCCGACTCCTGCCCACGCTCGCCACCCGGGACTCGAGGTGCCTGGTGCCCACAGCGGAGAGCCCACCCCTCCCTGGGGGGTAGCAGCCCCTGCAGGCGCCCATGGCTAGGGACACGCTGGAGGCCACCAAGCCGCCCACCTCAGTGGCCCCTTCCACAGCCCACCGCCTGGCCTCGGCTTAGAGGAACCGCCACCCACCCCCACGGGCAGGGCCTGGGGGGTGTCCCTGCGGTCGGCAAGGCCAGGGCACATCTGCCAAGCTCACCAGGACGGAAGGTGTCCGGCTGGCCAGTGCCTCGTCCTGAGCTGTCCCGCACCCCTGCCCAAGAGAAAGTGAAGCAAGGCAAACGCCCTTCCCGCTGTGGTATCACTCCAGCCTTGACTCTTTCACTTTCTCTCTCTCCTTCCCCTTCCTAAAAACCTCCTCATGAAATGTTTTAAATATATATATATATATGGGAGCCAGAGCAATAGCACAGCAGGGGGAGGGCGTTTGCCTTGCACGCGGCCAACCCGGGTTCGATTCCCAGCATCCCATAGGGTCCCCCAAGCACTGCCAGGGGTCATTCCTGAGTGCAGAGCCGGGATAACCTCTGAGCATCGCTAGGTGTGATTCAAAAAGCAAAATATATACATATATGTATATGTATATATGTGTATGTGTGCACATGCGCGCGCGCGCGCGTGTGTGTGTGTGTGTGTGTAATAGAGCCAAGATGAGTTTTCTTGTATCCGGAGCAATAGTGCAGTGGGCAGGCGCCTTGCCTTGTACGCAACCGACCCGTGTTCGATCCCCGGCATCCCATAAGATCCCCTGAGCCCACCAGGAATAATTCCTGAGCCAGGAGGAAATCCTGAGCACCGTTAGGTGTGGCCCTGCCCCCCCACACACACACATGCACACACACACAAAAAAAGAAGAATCTTAGCTGAGCTGGGGGTGATTGGGGCTAAGACCCCACCCGGGCAGCCCACCCATCCTGGCTTCCTCCCCAGAGAGAGCGACCGACGGCTCCCTGCAGAGCGAGGACTGGGCCCTCAACATGGAGATCTGCGACATCATCAACGAGACGGAAGAAGGGTAAGGGCCGGACTGCTGACCCCGGACTCCCCGGGTCTGGCCCACGGGAACCTTCCAGAAGGTCAGGAAGGCTGGGAGGGCCCCAGGTGGATGCCAGGTCGTGACCTCCCACGCCCATTTCCCCTCATTTCCTGGGTCTCCCCGGATGCTGCCTCTCCCATGGGTGCTGAGTGCTCCTTGTTTCCTGGAGCCAGGACCTCCCCCCCACCCCCCACCCCCGGGCAGGCTTCTGCTGTTTTCTTCCTGGTCAGGTCCTGACCCCAGCTGTGGAATTGGGGGTTGTTTTTTTTTCCCTTGGGTATTGGGGCTAGAACCCAGGACCTCTCCCGAACTCCCCCGCCGAGCCCCAGCCCTGATCCCAGGGTGCAGCTTATTTTGAATGTTTCCTTTTGGTTTTTGTCTTGGAGCTCAGGGCTTCCTGAGCTCAGGGCTTCCTCCTGCCTCTGCACTCCGGGATCACTCCTGGCGGGGCTCAGGGGCCCACATGGGGTGCCAGAGATGAGCCCAGGTCGCCCATGCACAAGCGAGTACCCTCCCCGCAGGTCTATCGCGCCAGCCCCTGGGTCCTGCTGTCTTTGGGTGCTCTTCTCTTTGCTTTGGGATCACACCCAGTAGTGCTCCGGCCTACTCCCAGCTCTGTGCTCAGGCGCTGGCTCTCTGGGAACGCTCAGGGGACCCCGTGGTGCCAGCATCGAACTCAGGCCTCCCACATACTTGGCTCAGGGAACCGTCTGCCTCCAGCCCATGTCTGCGGTTACGGCTGCCCAGTGGCCACGCCTGAGGGCCTGCGCCCATGGGTGTGGCAGCAGGTGCCTGAGGGGACTCAGCCAAGGAGCCCGCCAGCTCTGTTGGAGACACAGGCCCAGCCCGCCCGCCCGCCCTCCCTCCCTCCTTTCCTTCTTTTCCTCCCTCCCTCCTTTCCTTCCTTTCCTCCCTCCTTTCCTTCCTTTCCTCCCTCCCTCCCTCTCTCCTTCTTTCCTTCCTCCCTCCCTCCTTCTTTTCTTCCTCTCTCCTTCCTTCTTTCCTCCTTCCCTCCCTCCCTTCTTCCTTCCCTCCCTTCCTTCCTCCTATCCTGTCCTTCCATCCATCCATCCATCTGTTCCCACAGCCCCAAAGATGCCTTCCGGGCGGTCAAGAAGAGGATCTCAGGGAACAGGAACTTCCACGAGGTGATGCTGGCGCTCACGGTGAGTGCTCCCGGTCCCGCCCTGTGTCTCTGCCCCCAGGAGTGGCCCCTCCCCCCTCCCCGCCCCGACACGCAACACCCACATCCTCCCAGAAGCCACCCTGCCTGGGCCCCTGGGGAGGACGGGAGTGGACAGGCCCAACTGTGACTGGTGGCATTTGGACATCCCCGACGCGCGGGTGCCCACAGTCCGGGGCCCAGTTGTCACGTGCACGGATCCCCAGCGTGGCTGTGGGAAGGGACAGACACTCCTGTCCAGCCCCCCCCAGGACAGCCCGTGTGGCCAGGAACAGACAGGGCTGGAGTGCGGCCACCCCCGGGCCCCCCAGACCCAGCCCTCCTGTCTCACATCTGGGGGTTCGCGGCCCCCAGGTCTTGGAAACCTGCGTCAAGAACTGTGGCCATCGCTTCCACGTGCTGGTGGCCAGCCAGGACTTCGTGGAGGGCGTCCTGGTGCGGACCATCCTGCCCAAGAACAACCCCCCCACCGTGGTGCACGACAAGGTGCTCAGCCTCATCCAGGTGAGCTGGGGCCCACGGGGCATCCCCTGTATCCTGTATGTGTGTGTGCACGTGTGTGTGTTTGGGGAAGGTGTGAGAATGTGTGTGACTGTGAGAATGTGTGGATGTGTGTGACTAAGTGTATGTGTGTGTGTATGAGGGCATGAGTGTGTGAGAATGTGTGTGTGAGTGTGAGTGTGAGAGTCTGTGACTAAGTGTATGTGTGAGGTTGTGAGTGTGTGAGTATGTCTGTGACTATAAGTGTGTGTGTGAGGGTGTGAGGATTGTGAGTGTGTCTGATTATAAGCGTATGTGAGGATGTGTGTGAGTGTGGGTGTGTCTCTGTGACTGAGTGTATGTGTGAGGGTGTGAGTGTGTGTCTGTGACTAAGTGTATGTGTGAGGGTGTGAGTGTGTCTGTGACTAAGTGTGAGGGTGTAAGGATGTGTGTGAGTGTGTGAGGGTGTGTCACTGTAAGTGTATGTGTGAGGGTGTGAGTGTATGTGACTGTAAGTATATGTTTGAGTGTGTGTCTGTGACTGTAAGTGTGAGGATGTGTGTGACGGTGTGTGACTGTGACTGTAAGTATATGTGTGAGTGTGTGTCTGTGACTGTAAGTACATGTGTGAGGGTGTGAGGATGTGTGTGAATGTGGGTGTGTCTGTGACTAATTGTATGTGAGAGTGTTACTGTGACTGTAAGTGTATGTGTGAGGATGTGAGGATTGTGTGTGTGAGTGTGTGTATGACTAAGTGTATGTGTGAGGGTGTGAGGGTGTGTGAATGTGTGTCTGACTGTAAGTGTGTGTGTGAGTGTGAGTGTGTGTCTGTGACTGTGACTGTAAGTACATGTGTGAGGGTGTGTGAGTGTGAGTCTGTGAGCCCGGCCAGGGAAGGGGCTCGTGTGTGCCGTGGTTACCGCCCTGTCCCCTGTCCCCTCTCAGTCCTGGGCGGACGCCTTCCGCAGCTCGCCTGACCTGACGGGCGTCGTGGCCGTGTACGAGGACCTGCGCCGGAAGGGCCTGGAGTTCCCCATGACCGACCTGGACATGCTGTCGCCCATCCACACGCCGCAGAGGGTGAGCAGGACGGGCCGTGGGGACCCCGAGGGACACCCCCCCGGCTGGGCGGGGGGGCACCCGATCTCCTTCCGGTCAGCCCGGGTGCCGGGCCCTGCCCAGCCTCGCCGTCTGCTTGTGCCTCAGACCGTGTTCAGCTCCGAGGCGCCGTCGGGACAGAACTCCGTGGGCTCGGACCCCGCTCACCGGGCCGAGCAGCCCGCCCCGCCCCCCGCCCCCGTCGTGCCGCTGGGAGATGCCACCTTGACGCCCACCCCTGAGCAGGTGAGCCGCGGGACAGGGCTGTGTGTGTCTGTGTGTTTGAGTGTGAGAGTGTGTGTGAGTATGTGAGAATGTATGAGAGTGTGAGTGTGACTGTGTCTGTGTGACGGTGTGTGAGAACGTGTGAGTGTGTGTCTGCGTGTTTGTGTGAGAATGTGTGAGACTGAGTGTGACTGTGTAGGTATGACTCTGTGTATGTGTGAGGGTGTGTAAGACTATGTGAGTGTGTGTGAAAAATTGTGAAAGTGGGGGTGAGTGTGTGCGGGTAGACTATAAGTGTATGTGTGAGAGTGAGTGTGAGAGTGTGTATGACTGTAAGTGTATATGTGTGTGTGAGAATGTGTGTGTATCTGTAAGTGTGTGTGTGTGTGTGAGAGAGAGGGAGTGCATGTGTGTGGGTATGACTGTATATGTATGAGTGTGTGTGTGTGTGTGTGTGTGTGTGTGTGAGAGAGAGAGAGAGAGAGACGGTGTGTGAGAGTGCGAGTGCCCCAGACTCGGCCACAGACTGGGTTGTGGGTGCAAGGCTGTGCCCTAGGGTGTGTGGCTTCACCTTTGAGGCGATGCCCAGCCTCCTCCGTCCAGCCAGACACGCTGGAAAGAAAGTGCTCCTGGGGCCGGAGCAATAGTCCAGCGGTTGGGGGACTGGCCTTGCACGTGGCCAACCCGGGTGTGATCCCCGGCACCCCATCTGGTCCCCCGAGCACCTCCAGGAGTGAGCCCCAAGCAACGCCCGGTGTGACCCAGAGAGGACAAGACGGTGGGCAGCAGCGGCCGCCCATCAGCCTGCGGGGGGAGAAGTTCCGGGCTGCAGTCCCTCCGAGCGGGCGATGAAGTCAGCCCTCCCGAGCGGCAGGCGTCACCAGGGACGTTCTGCTAACGAGCTGGGCAATTAGAGGTCCGCTCGGGCTCCTCGCCCTGGGCTCGGGGCCAGCCTGCTGCACTCTGGCCTCCGACTGGAAGGACCGTAGTGCTCAGCGGTGGACCCGGTCGTCTCCTGGGGGCACAGACACAGGGCTGCCGCTTCCAGGCTCCTAATTAGGTCCCGTCAGACCCGAGGCTGGCAGCGCTGGTCCCGGCTGTTGGTTCTGTCTTTTCTTGTTTAGTTTTTGTTGCGTGAGGTCACAGCCAGCAGCGCTGAAGGGCCCTGCGGGTGCCAGGAGTTGAATCCGCTACAGGGCCTTCTGCGTGCGGGGCCTGTGCTCTGCCCTGGACCCCTGGCCCGGCCCTGCACACAGGCATCTGCCCACACACTGGTACCGAGAGCATTCACGGACTGTGTCCACGGCCCCAGTGACCCGTACAGCTGCCCGGGGTGATGGCCGGAATGTCTGGGGCACCGACGTTACCTGGGTCAGGGTGGCAGCCGTCCCCGTGGATCATGTCTTGCCATGAGACCTGCCAGTCTCGTGCACAGAGATGTGGGGAGACACAACCCCCAGCGCCCCACACCCACAGCATGAGAGCCTGTGCGTCTTAACAGCTGCCCTCCAGCCAGGCCCCTGGGGGCACACGCCCCCCCCCAGAAAACCCAGCATTGTCTGCATCAGGCTTGGGTCTGCGGCCCAGGACCACGTGGCCACCAAGAAATGGCCACCGTGGCTGCTGGGTATAGCCCTGGTGGCCCCCGCAGCACTGAGGGGGACCCACCCCCAAATAAGCAAGAATAAATCTGTCTATGTGGGAGGGCATTGATTTGGTTTGGGGCCACACCACACCCAGCCATGTGCAGGGGCTGCTCCCAGCACAGTGCTCCAGGGAGCAGGTGGTACCAGGGATTGAACCCCGAGGCTCCTGATGCAGAGTCGGACTCTCCATCATTACCTGCCCATGGGATAATCTACTCTTTGCCTTTTTTGGGTCATACCCAGGCACACCCAGGGATGCTCAGGGGTTCCTCCTGGCTCTGCACTCAGGAACTACTCCTGGGGGTGCTCGAGGGACCCTATGGGGTGGCGGGGATGGAACCGGGTCGGCCATGTGCAGGGCAGACACCCTCCCCGCGGGACTATCACCGCTCCAGCCCCATGCTCTGCATTTTAAGTGGCGGTGGGGGTGTCTCTGGGACTCATCCCGACCAGGGACACCTCCGCCAAGCAGGAGGCTGTCCCCGCAGAAGGGGAGGGTGGGTCCTGCCCTATCGGCGGAGGGGGCCGGCTCCTCCCGCCTCCGGAACCGCTCCCGGGGGCCCTTGTTAGCTGCCCCGGGAGAGGCTGGCGCTGCGCCTCAGTCGCCCTGGGCTGTGTTGCTGGCGGCCGGTCCCTGCACCGGCTCCCCCGGTTGGAGATGGTGACGGTCGGTATCGCCGCAGTGAGGGGGTCTCTGAGGGGTGGGGGCCGGCCCCTGGCCGGGGGGGCTCTGGCTGCATCCCCGGGCCAGCCCCTGCCTCTCAGCGGCGCCCTCCCGGTTTCAGATCGGGAAGCTGCGCAGCGAGCTGGAGATGGTGAACGGCAACGTCCGGGTGATGTCGGAGATGCTCACCGAGCTGGTGCCCACCCAGGCCGAGCCCGCCGACCTGGAGCTGCTGCAGGTGAGCTGAGGCCCCCGCGCAGACACACGCGCACAGATACACACGCAGACACACACATCAGACACACACGTGCAGACACACATGCTCAGGCACACGCACAGACACTCAGATGCAAACACACAGGCACACAGACACACACCACAGACACACAGACACCGACACACACACACAGAGACAGACACACACAGATTCCAGACACACACAGATACACACTGACACACACAGGCACACAGGTACAAACACAGACACAAATACAGACACACACAGGCACACAGATTCACACACAGACACACACACAGACACGTATAGACAGACACGTACAGACACACATTCTCAGACACAGATATAGACACAGACACAAATACAGACACACACACAGGCACACAGATACACACCGTAGAGACACAGGCACACACACTCACACAGAGACAGACACACACAGATACAAACAGACACAAGTACACACACAGGCACACAGCTACACACCATAGACACACAGACACAGGCACACACACAGAGACAGACACACACAGATACCAAACACACCCAGATACACACAGTCACACAGTGAGATACATACAGACGCGCACAGACACACACACACACACAGACATGCAGACAAATCAGTTGAAATCAGTGAGAACAGTACAGCAGGGAGGGTGCTTATCTTGTACACGGCCGACCTGGGTTTAGACTCTGACATCCCATATGGTCCCAGAGCTTTACCAAGAGTGATCACTGAGCACAGACCAGGAGTAAGGCCTGAGCATCCCCGGATTTGCCCCACACCCTCATCCCTCCAAAAAAAGTCAGGGACCTAGAGGCTGAGGTGGAGGGGGAGTCCTGCTTCCCGCATGGGTGTGCATAGCCGCGTCACAGGCAGTAGTGAGGGAAGGGGAGGGTCCCAGTGCCTGATGTGGGAGCCACGAATGATTTGGCTGCAGTCAAAAAGGTTCTGCATGCACAGCGATGAAGATTCTGTATCAACCTTGGTATGAACATGATGGGATTCTGGCCGTGCTGCCCGTGGCGCGTGTGTGAGCTGGACTGGGCCCCGGTGGACAGCGTTGCCCGGGGGGGTTCTCAGTGTCACCAGGGTCCCCGCCTGCCCCACGGCTGAGGCCTCCCCGAAGAGTAGCCGAGGGGAGGCTCAGGGGACTTCGCCGTACCACCGACTCTACTGTCCACGGCTACTCTGCCATCTTGGCTATTTTCTGTGACTCTAAATTCATTCCAAACTGGGGCCAGAGCAGTTTGGGCATTGGCTTTGCACATGGCCGACCCAGGTTCAATCTCCAGTACCCCAGGAGTGATTCCTGAGCACAGAGCCAAGAGTCAGCCCTGAGCATTGCCGGGTGTGGGCGAAAAGCAAATGTGCAGACACTGCCTGCCAAACGGGGCTGTGAGAAGGGCCCGGGGTAGCTCGTGTGTGTTCTGTGATTTGTCGTATTCTGTGACTTGTCGTGTTCTGGGATCTTTTCTCTGGCTCCCCCACCCCCACCCCCCAGGCCTAGAGGACTGAGTCTGGTTGGCCGGGCCCCTGGCTTCCGCCTTCATCTCTTTGGCCCTCCCACTTCCGCTGACCCTCACCGTGGCCATGCCCAGGGTGCTCACGGAGGTGGGCAGGCTTGTGGCCCCAGTGCTCACGCAGGGTGCCAGCGGGTCACCCCCATTCCGTGGCACTTACACATCCCTGGGTGTGGTGGGGCCCAACATCACAGACGGCAGAGGCAGCCCGGGCCCCGCTGGGCACATGTGGGGCACCAGGGACTTGAACTCGCGGCCTGGGGCCCACAAGACCGGGCTCCAGCCCTGCAGCAGGGAGGCAGGGTGAGGGTCACCTACACGGTGGCCGGACGTGGACACCCAGGGTAGGGTAGCGCAGACTGCGGAGCCCGTTGGTGTCTCCAGTGTGAGAATCTCGCCAAGGATCCCATGGTAGGAAAGTGCCACGGGGGGCGAGAGCAGGCCGCGGCGCGGGCCCCCATCACTGTCCCACGCCCCCTCCCTCGCCAGGAGCTCAACCGGACGTGCCGGGCCATGCAGCAGCGGGTGCTGGAGCTCATCCCCCAGATCGGCAACGAGCAGCTGACGGAGGAGCTGCTCATCGTCAACGACAACCTCAACAACGTCTTCCTGCGCCACGAACGGTACCCGCGCCCCCTCCCGCCTCCTGGGGAACACGCTCTCCTAGGAGGCCACCAAGTTCTTCCCCCCGGCAACACCCCCCGCCCCAACATCCCCCCCCCGCCCCGCAACCTTAGCCCCTGTCCAGGAGAGGCGGGGTTTTTTGTTATTTTTTTTTCCCTTTCTGGATCACGCCCAGCGTTACTCGGGTTCCTCCTGGCTCCTCCTGGCAGTGCACGGGGGACCCTATGGGATCGAACCCGGGTCAGACACGTGCAAGGCAAACGCCCTCCCCACCGTGCCATGGCTCCAGCCCCAGGAGAGGCTTTTTTTTGTTTGGCTGGTTTGGAGTTTTGGCGTTGCTCAGGGCTGACTCCTGGCTTTGTGCTCAGGGATCACTCCTGGCAGGGCTCAGGGGATCCTCGGAGGTGCTGGGGATTGAACCCGGCTTGGCCGCGTTTGAGGCGAGCACCCTTCCTGCTGTTCTCTCTCTCTCCGGCCCCGGGAAGAGCCCTTTTCGGGAGAACTTGCAGAACTTGGGGCAAGAGGGGTGTGGGGAACGGATCCGGGGTGGCTCAGGGCTCTGGGCACAGAAGCTCATGTGTCCCCCCCCACCCCACCCCTCACCCCTGCCTATTCCATATGGGTGAACTCAGCAGGAAGGGGTGGTCAGGCTGCCTGCCCTGGACCATCCTCCCGCCTCCCAGATACCCCAGCTGAGCCCAGGGGGTAGGAGGGGGGCCCCCAGCATCACCAGAAGTAGGGTCAGAGCAGCTCCCAGTCCTGTTAAGGTGGAAGGAGGGGTGCCAGGCTGCCATCCTGCTTGTTCCCCACACCACATGCCGTGCGGGTTAGGGGGCAGCCCTTTTGGGGGTGCTTAGGCCAGGACACCCTGCCTGTCACACGCGTCTGAGCAGGGGCCACTCTGTTCAGAGACAGGCCCGGCCCGACACACACCCTCAGGGGCGCGGTGGGCGGTAGGGGGGGACAAGCATCTTCCCGGCCCCTGCCCCACTGCCTTCCTCACGGGGACCCTGGGAGGCGGCAGTGACCGTTCCCTGCCTAGGACTCCGCACCGTGCTAAGTCGCAGTCACCTTCACCTGGGCTTCTCTCTCCCACAGGTTTGAGCGTTTTCGGACAGGCCAGAGCGCCAAGGTAGGCGTCTCCCCGGGGCCGGGACCAGGCAGGACCCTCCTCACACAACTGTCCCTGTCCCCGCTGAGGCCCACGGGTCTCCCAGCCTCCCCCGGGGGGCAAAGAGGGCCCGGTGACCCAGGGGGAAGCGTCCTCCACTCCCGGCCAGCCCCAGGCACTGAGAGGGGACCCAGGCTGAGAGGGCAGTGGGAAGGCTGATGCCGGCCACTCCCCGACCAGGCCCCCAGCGAGGCCGAGGCTGCCGCTGACCTCATCGACATGGGCCCTGAACCCGCAGCCGGCGGCGCCCTCTCATCCCAGCTGGCTGGAATGAGTAAGTATGCGGGGCCCTGGTCCAGGAGTGCTCCCTGTGGGTCCCCCTCCTCCGGCAGGTGTGGGGTGAGGGGGGCTGTCCAGCCAGAAGGGCCAGCTCCCAGGTCCCGGGCTGAGCCCCCAGGGGCTTCTGGTCACCCATACCCCACTCCTGAGCCCCTGGGGACCTCAGAGACCACCGCCCTGACAGCTCCCTCCCCAGCCCCCCCCCCCCCCCAGGTAGTCAGAACTCGAACAGGTTTCCTGTGCCCTGTGCCCCTCTGTGCAGGACCACCCAGGTCCTCAGTGGCGTCCACAGGGTGGGACCGGCCGAGACCCGGGTCAGATCGTTGGAGTTGGGACCATCCCTGCCTGCTCCCTCCTGGGACCCCTTCAGCTGCAGGAGTCCCATAGTTGCTTCCCGCAGGTGGGACTAGGATGACTAGGATAGGGGCCACTTAAGCAGCCCCATGGGCAGGGCAACCCCAGGATGGAGGGGGTGGGGCTGAGATGCGGCCTGAGAGCGGAGGTGTGGCTCGCCCCAGCCCCGCCCCTGTAGGGCTCCACCCTCTCCCAAGCCCCACCCCTCTCTACCTGGCTCCGCCCTGCCACACCCACTATCCCAGCCCCGCCCCCACCTAACCCTCTTCCCAACTCCGCCCCCTTTCCGGGCTCCACCCTCTCCCCAGCTTGCCCCGCCCCTCCCACAGAGGCTCTGCCCAGGACCCGCCCCCTGTCCCAGCTCTGGCCCCGCCCCTGTCTGGCCTCCATCCTCTCCCCAGCCCTGCCTAGCCCTCGCCCCGGCCCCACCCCCTGCTTGGGCTCCACCCTCTCCCCAGCCCCACCCCATCTTGCCCTGCCCCTTCCACACCCTGACTCCGCCCTGGCCCCGCCCCTGTTCCAGCTCCTCCCCTGCCCCACCCCCTGTCCGGCTCCACCCTCCCCAGCTCGCCCCGCCCCTTCCACACTCTGGCCCCACCCACCATCCAGGCTCCACCCCACCGGGCTCTCGCCCCCCCCCCCCCCCGCCCCTCCCCGCAGAATTTCTGGCCTTGGTCCTGGCCGCTCTGCGTGCAGGGCGGCGGCTTCCGCGCCGCTCATCTCTCCTCTCCGCCCGCAGACCTGGGCTCCAGCAGCGTGAGGGCAGGCCTGCAGTCCCTGGAGGCCTCCGGCCGCCTAGAAGACGAGTTTGACATGTTTGCACTGACCCGGGGCAGCTCGCTGGCTGAGCAGCGGAAAGGGTGAGTGATGGGGGGGGCACCGGGGAGCCTCCTTGACCCCAGCCCCGGCTTGTGGATGGGAAGGGGCGCCCCACCCAGCACCCAGCCCCTGTCCTCTCACTCCCAGAGACCCGACCGCCCCAGTGCTCCGGGGCTGGAGCTGTCCACCCTGGGTCCAGTGAGGACCCCCCGGGGCACAGCACCATGGTGGCTTGCCCTGTGCAGGGCTGCCCGGTGCCTACTGGGCGGATCAGCCTCGTGGCCCCTGGCATCCCGGGCCCTGCAAGTCTCATCTCTGCTCAAGCTGGGCTGCCCCCATCCCAGGTGCTGTCCATGGCAAGGCATGCAACCCAGACCCTGTCCTTGCACCCGACCCTTAGCCGCTTGCTTGGGGTTGTGGCCTGGGGCATGCAGCTGGCGTGGCCCTGGAACATTCTGGATGACCCGCAGCCCATGGGAACTGTCTCTCGGAGCTTCCTGAGGCCCTGTGCCCTCGGTTGCTGTGGAGTTAGGTATCCCCAGAGCTGCGGAGGGTGGGATAGTGAGGCACAGGAATTGCAGCCCAAGGGCCCCCAGCAGGAGCTCCTGACCCCCACACCGTCAGCTGGGGGGGCAGTGAAGACGGCGGCCGGCAGCAGAGGGGTCAGCACGGGTGCCGCATCATGTGCCGTGCCTGGACACTGGGACATGTGGCTCCACAGAGGTGGGGGGCGGTCAGTGCTGGGCAGCCTGGGGGTCAGTATGGGTCAGCGAGGGATGATCAGTGCTAGATGCTAGGTGTGATTAGTGCTGGACAGTGGGGTGGTTAGTGCTCACCCTTGTCCTGAGCTGTGCAGTCCCAGGGTGGGCAGTCAAAGCTCTGTCCTGCGCGGAGCCCAGATCAGGCCTGGCGACACCCTCCTCACCGCTGGTCGGTGGAGCCCATGTCCCCCTGGCCAGTGTCCTCGCCACAGGCGCCGCCTCCCGCCCTCCCTCAGCCTCTGCTGTTTCCCAGCACACGTTCCCCCTCAGGGCCTCGCTGGTTGGCGCCTGAGCTCCCCGGGCCTCCTCCTGGGGTGCCCATGGGGGCCTATTCCTGCTCCGTCAGCCCCTCGCCGTGTCCTCGCACTCGCCTACCCATGGCCAGAGACGCGGCCCTGCGTGGCTCCAGGGCCCAGATAGCCGTGCCAGGACCACACGGGCACCAAGAGGCTCACACAGCCTCCCCCGTGCGGGCACTTCTGCTGCTCACACAACACCTCAACCTGCAGTGTCCCCCCACCCAGAGCTTCAGTGTTCCCCCAGAGCTTCAATGTCCCCCCCAGAACTGCAGTATCCCCCAGAGTTGCAGTATCCCCCAGAGCTGCAATATCCCCCAGAACTGCAGTATCCCCCAGAGTTGCAGTATCCCCCAGAGCTGCAGTATCCCCCAGAGCTGCAATACCCCCAGAGATGCAGTGTCCCCCCAGCCCCAGGCCCTCCCTCCCACGAGCTTAGCAGCCAGCCTCTCCCAGAGGCGATCGGGTCACCCACCCTTCAGCCAAGACAGGCAGCCAGGGTCGGGATAACTTGCCTTCTCGCGGCCACACCCTCCAGGCCCCTAGAACAGGGGTGGGGGTGGGGAAGCGGGCGATGCGCCGTGATGGGATGGTGCCTGGGATGGTGCCGGCACAGTGAGCCCTTGGGGGGGGTTCTTTGGGGGTGAAGGTGCCGCACCTCCTCACCCCTCCCACAGCCTCACGGGCGTCCACCCCCAGTTCCCAGAGGACCTCCCTGCCTGTCCCACTGCCCCGGGTCCTGGGCAGCATCTGAGGGTCACGGCCGCCTCTCGTGTTTCAGGGTCAAGTACGAAGCCCCTCAAGCCTCGGACGGCCTGGCCGGAGCCCTGGACGCGCGTCAGCAGAGCGGCGGGGCGGTAAGCCGGCGACTCGCCTTCTCCCCCGTCGGGACAGTGTGGGTGACGGTCACTCGGGGGCCGTGGCCCCAGGAGACTGACCAGGCCGGGCAGGGACTGCAGGGAGGGACACGGTGGCAGCTGGACAGTAAGAGGCCTGGGCACTTGACACGGGGCCGACTCTTATCCAGCGTCCACATTATCGGCCCCTGTGGACATGACCCCAGGACCTCCAGGGGCCCGGCCCTTCCCAGGGGGCAGGACAAGCCCCAAGGGGAGCCCTGAGCGGGCTTGGGGCAGCAGGCAGCAAGGGCCTGGGGCAGTGACTGCCCGGCCCTGCCCCCCACCCCACCCCGTGAACGCCCCCAGCCCCAGGCAGGGCACCTGTGGGTCAGGCCCGGACTCTGCTGTCCACCCCGAGGGTCAGACCCGGGAGCGGGCAGCTTCTCAAGTCCCCCAGAGCCAGCCCAGGACGCCCGAGAGGTTCAGGCCACAGAAGACCCCAAGAGCCCCCTGCTCTAGTCAGACCCCCACTGCAGCCCCTGACCTCAGGGTGGTCCGACTCCCCAAGGCGGCCCCAGGCCCCTCACCCTGCCACCGCCCTTCTCTTCCAGATCCCCGTTCCCCAGGCCGGCGTCATGGAGGACATCGAGCAGTGGCTGGCGACTGACGTGGTGAGTCGACCTGTCCCCTGCCTGCAGGGTCACACCTCTCAGCGGTGACCGTTCACGGGGACACTCCTAGGGGTGACCATTGTCAGGGGCACCCCTCAAGGGTGACCGTTCACAGGGATACTCTCGGGTGACCATTCACAGGGACACTCTCAGTGGTGACCATTCACAGGGACACTCAGTGGTGACCATTCACAGGGACACTCAGGGGTGACCATTCACGGGGACACTCTCAGTGGTGACCATTCATGGGGACACTCTCGGGTGACCGTTCACAGGGTCACTCTCAAGGGTGACCATTCACAGGGCCTGTCTCAGAGGGAAGCCCACAGCCCGGGGGGGAGCCGGGCCCTGATAGCGCCGAACCCCCCATCCCTCGAGCCCTGCAGCCCCTCTGGGGGCCGCGCCGGCAGCGTCCGGGCAGTATGGGGCAGGGCGTTGGCCTGGCACCCCCTCTGCTCCCTCCCCAGGGCCTGGCCCGGTCCCCGTCCCTGCTGGGGCCACACAACATCAGGGTGGGGGGACCTTGTGACCCTTGTGACCCTCCCTGACACCTGGGGGGCTGAGGAGTCAGGACCCCACTGGGGGGACAGTGGCTGAGGCCTCGACCTGGCCCCCTTGGTGAGCTCAAGACCTCCTGCTTACCCAGGGCGCCGACGCGGACGAAGCCAAGGGCGTCACCAGCGAAGGTGGGAGTACCCGTCCCCGTCCCTGCCCCAGATGCTGTCCCTGTCCCCACCCCTCACCCCTGTCCTCATGCCCATCCCATCCCTCCCCCAGCCCCCGTCCCCATCCTTGTCCCGTCCCCGCGCCCAGAGCCCGCGCTCCTTCCCACAGAGTTCGACAGGTTCCTGGAGGAGCGGGCCAAGGCCGCTGACCGCCTGCCCAGCCTCTCCAGTCCCTCGGCCGACGCCCCCCAAGGGCCCCCCGCGGGCACCACGTCGCGCAAGAAGACGCAGGACAAAGACGATGACATGCTGTTTGCCTTATGAACGGGGAAGGGGCCGGGTCCCCACGGCCTCACCGGGCCCCTCCTCCCCCCCCCCCCGTGTTAAGGCTGCTTTGGGGGGCGCCTCGGTGCCCACCTTCTCTCTTCCTCGCGGATGGGGCTGGCCCGCACCTGGGGGGAGCAGGACAGCTGTGCTTCGGGGGTCCCCTCCCGAGGAGCGCCCCCGCACCCACACTGCCAGGCTGGGGCCCGCACAGCTCAGCCACCTCCTCCCTCCCGTGGCTCCCGGCCCCACTCGGGGCCCGCTGCGGGCAGGCCATGGGCCTGACCAGGTACGACACGCGGGGCCGCAGCAGGAGACCTCACTGCCTTCGTCCACCCGGCTCTCCGGGCAGTGCCCTGGGCCCGGGATCCTGCGGTCCATCTCATCCGGGAGTGGTCGTGCCTTTGCATCTCAATTAAAGGTAGAAAGTCTGCAAGGCCCGGGGAGTCTTGGCCTCATTGGGGGGCAGCCGGTGGCAGGGGGGTGCGTCACGTGTCCGTCTGCGCTGCTCACCTAGCATACCCGTCTGCTGGGGGCGGGACTTCCTCCCCACAGCCCCCGGCCCGGGGCAGGTCACTCCATCTTTCCTGTGTCCAGGTGCCAAGAAGAGGGGGAATCAGGAGTTAGGGGCCAGGGGATGAGGATCCTTGGCTGTGAAGTGGAGGCCCAGGGGTCCAGAGCCATAGGACAGCAGGAGGGAGCTCACCTTGCATGCGGCCCACCCAGGTTGGAACCCCCAGCACCCTGGAAGCTCCCCCAGGAGGGATCCCTGCATGCAGAGCCAGGAGTTAGCCCTGAGGACCGCGGGGGGGGGGGGGGGGGGCGGTGCTGCAAAAAAAAAAGAAAAAAAAGAAATGGAACAGTAGCTGGTGCTGGGAGCCCGGCCGGGAGAGGGAGCCCAGCAGGAAGGGGAAGGGGTCTTGGGTCCCCGGGGTCGGCTCTGTGCACCCTCTTCCCCAGAGATCAAGGGGCAGGCTCTCCGGGCCAGGAGGCATTTGCTGGCGGTGCCGGATCCCAGGTCCCCAGGCAGGGCAGGAGATGGCCAGCCCCACCCCAGGGAGCCGCAGCCCGGCAGGTGAGCCAGGCCCCCGGGTGGGAGGCGCAGGGGTGGGTGGGCCCAGCCGCGGGTCAGCTGCGCACCCCGTTTCCTCCCACTCCACGCCAAGGGTCCGGGATCCGGCTCTGCGCGCTGCCTCCGAGACCACCCGGGAGCCTCCGCACCTTCCCCGGGTCTGGTCTGTTGCCTCCCGTGTGTAGGGGTCCGCTCTACTGAGGTTGCGCGCGGCGGCGCGTCCGAGCGCGGCCACCAGGTGGCAGCAGCGCCGCTTGTGCGGGGCCTCGCTGGGTGGACAGGGCGGGTCCTCCACCTGGAGCGTTGACCCTGGCCCCCTCGGGGCCCCACCGGAGCCCTTCGCCGGGGCGGGGGGATATGCAAGTGACCCAGACGTAGGATTTACCTCGAAGTCAAACTAGCATCCTTGGAGGTTCAGTGGCCAGAGGGAGTGGGATCCCAGCTGAGCCCTCGGCCCTGCACCCACGGCACCAGGACACAGTCCAGATGGTCCCTCCAAATCCCCCCGGGGATGCGGGGCTCAGTGACCGCCCGGTAACTCCGTCACACCCGAGCCCAGAGAGGAAGTGCAGCCCCAGGGTGCTTGCCTTGCCTTGCACGTGGCCAGCCCGGGCTCTGTCCCCGGGTCCCTGTGATCCCTTGGCAGCATCGTGCAAAAGATCCAGCCCCAGAGCCCGAGGGAGGACACAGCGGGGAGGGCGCTCGCCGTGCACGGGACCAGCCCGGGTTCAATCCCCAGCACCCCATGCGGTCCCCCAAGCACAGAGCCAGGAGTCAGACCCAAAACTAAACTCCCAGCTCTAGACTCCTCCAAGTGTCCCCTTCCAGGATCTGGGTGTCCGGTTTGGTTTTGGGGGGTGGAACCTGACCCCTGCACTAGCTCCGCCCCCCCTTCCCAGAGCTGAAGCCCCCTGCCCACCAGTGCCCCCCCCCCCCCGCGGCTTAGACACACTAGCCTTGATGGACACCCCACCCCCACTCCAAGGGCATGTGCCCCCGCCCTGGTCTGTAGGGCACCCACTGAGCACCACGGAGCCCTGGGGAGGTGACAGCTGCAGCCCCTCTGATGCGGGCACGCCCTTTCCGCACCCCAGGCCTCAGTTTCCTCCCTGGTAACTGGAGAGTGAGCAAGGGGATCTGAGCTCTCTGCTGCTCACCCACCGCCCTACAAGTCCACAGACCGGGGAAGAAACGCGAGGCAAGAAACGCCGATGACAGGGATGGGAACTTGGCCCCAAGCCCCCAGCCCAGGCCCCAGGAGCCCAGGGCAAAGGTCCGGGTACTGATGGGCCGGGTAAAGACTGCCAGCCCCCAAGTCAGGCGCCCTCCCCGCTGGCTGCTGGCAAGGGTGGGGAAGTGAAACCCCGGGAACAGCATGTCCTGTGCCCCGGCCCCTGCTGGGAAAGGGGAAGCAGGGGCCAGCGGCACAGGGGACCCCTCCCTGCCCCACATCTGCTGGCAGAGACTGTGACGCTGGGGCTGGTGGTTCTAATGGGTCCGGGGGATCAGGGGCATCCTGATCCAGGGGGTCAGGCCGAGGACTTTGTTCCTGCTGGGCTGTTATCAAAGCTGCCTGAGTGTGAGGAAAGGCACTGTGTGTGTGCCTACACATGTGTGCTTGCATGTGTGTGCATGCGTGTTTGTGCATGCATGTGTGTATGCATGTGTGTGCATGTATTTGTGTGCAGACATGTGTACGTGTGTGCAAGCGTGTGCCCAGTGTGTGCACTCGCGAATGTCTAACTCAGTGCGTGCGTGTGTGCCTATATGCGCGTGCACATGGACCCGTGTTGTGCTTGTCCACACATGTGCATGTAACCCAATGCATGCGTGTCCATGCATGTGCATGCATGCATACCCCACACGTGTGCATGGGTGAACCCTCATCCCTGGTGAGCTGGAGGGACCCTCCCCACTCTCCTGGAAGGAGTAGGCTGGTGGGGGGTGCAGGGGGCCTCCTGGGGGCCCAGGTGACGGTGGGTACTGTAGTGGCAGCAGCAGTGGGGCCCACGGGGCCTTAACAGGCGATCTGGGGACCCTGGGCAGGGGTGGGAGAAGAGCATGTCACACCTCTCAAGGCAAGGCGGATGGGCCTGGGCCGGCTCCCAGCCGCCCTCCAGACACGGCACTTTCACTAGGCATGAACGAGAGCGTGAGCACCTGCTCTGGGCCCCAGCACAGCCGGGAGAAGGGTCGAGAGTTTCCTCTGGCTGGTGTCTGGCTCCACACACACCCTAAACCCTTGGCTCGCTTTTTGGGACCTGAGCGATAGCACAGCAGGGAGAGCATTTGCCCTGCACGCAGCCGACCTGGGTTCGATCCCCGGCATCCCATAGGGCCCCCTGAGCACCGCCAGGAGTAATTTCTGAGTGCAGAGTCAGGAGGAACCCCTGAGCATCACCGGGTGTGACCCGAAAAGCAAAACATAAAAAACCCTTGGCTTGTTCTTAGGGCAAAGTCCCACCTCCTGATGTGGCCTCCCCAGGCCTCAGGATCTGGGTGCCCCCCACCCTCTCCAAGACCCCCAGGGCCCCTTGAGCTGCCCCACCCCCATCCACCCCGGCTGACTCACACCCCCTCCACTGCTCCTCAGTGATGCCCTGGCCAGGAGGAAAGGAAGTTGCCAGACAGCCCCAGGCCAGGCCTCCGGTTCATCCTGGTTCATGCCTGGCACCGGCCTCCAAGTAGGTCTCAGTACCCCAAATAGATGGCAGGGTGGGATGGGAGGTGATATCTGGAGATCAGGGACTGCGAGAGGGCAGCCTGCAGCCCCCATGTCCAGCCAGGAGGACCCCCGGACATTGATGAATGGGGCTGACTTAAAGCGGGACAAGAATCAGTTTGCCAGGAGAGTGTGTGTGTGTGTGGTGGGGGTGCGGTGAACCCACACTGGCCTGACAAGATTAGGGGTTGTGCAAGGTGCCTCGACACCTCACACGGACAGCTGGCTGGAATCCAGGTCACCTGCAAGCCAGCACATGTCCTCTGGGTCACCCGACAAACCCCCAGCCTCGAGGAGCCGGGACAGGCGCCCCCGGCCCCACAGCCCAGGAGATAATGCAGAGACACCAGGTATCAGAGTCACGTGCAGCAGCCCTGGCCCCCGTTGACACTGGTCTCCTCCCAGGAGGCCATCAACGGGCACTGCTGAAGTCCTCCAGTGGAGAAACAGGTAGGACGACCTCACAGCTGACACCTTTACGTGCTGATTGTTTAGAACAAAAACTGGGCCGGAGGGGCTGGAGCGATAGCACAGCAGGAAGGGCATTTGCCTGGCATGTGGCCAACCCAGGTTTAATTCCCAACATCCCATAGGGTCCCCTGAGCACCGCCAGAAGTAATTAATTCTTGAGTGCATGAGCCAGGAGGAACCCCTGAGCATCACTGGGTGTGACCCAAAAAGCAAAAAATATAATAATAATAATAATAATAATGGGCCGCAGTCATTGCACAGTGGGGTAGATAGGGTGGGCGCTTGCCCCTCACACGGCCAGCCCAGGTTCGATCCCCGGCTCCCCATCGGGTACCCCGAGACTGCCGAGGTTGACCCCTGAGCACAGAGCCAGGAGTCAGCCAAACAAAACCACAACAGACACTGTGTCCACGCCTTCCGGCCGACACGTTGAGCGGCTCTGAGCAATTTTTCATCAACTTCCATTTGCTTGTTTGGGGGCGCTTCCAGCAGTCTTGGGGGCCACCAGGGCTGTCCCTGCCCTTTCCCAGAGGCCTTGTGGGGCCAGAGAGAGCCCTGAAGGCCCCAAGCATGCGCCAGTCCTGAGTCACCACCAGGGGCCCCTGAGTCATCTCTTCTTGTTTATTGCTTTTTCTGTTTGTTGGTTTGGGGTGTTGGGCCACGCCTGGGGGCGCTCAAGGGGCACTTCCTGCTCTGTGCTGGGGGGCACCGTCACTCAGAGAACCTGCAAAGGGCACAGCCCCCCCCCCCCACTTAGAGTATCTCCTCCCCCTTAAGTCACCTGCTCTAGGGTGGTTTCTGTTTTGCCATATTTGGAGCCCACCCTGCAGTGCTCCAGGGTCCTCCTGGCTCCGGGGTCCTCGTTGCTGGGGTTACTCCAAGCAGTGCTCAGGGGACCACATGGTGCTGGGTGGGGGGTGGTCTCTGGGCTCACCCCTCTAACCTCTCTCTGTTCCTTAAGTCACCTTGTCACCTCTGGCAGCGGTGGGTGAGTCGGGTCACAGCTAGCAGTGCTCAGGGGTCACTCCTGGCCCTGCACTCAGGAATTATTCCTAGAAGTGTACCGGGGACCCTATGGGATGCTGGGGATTGAACCCGGGTCCGCCATGTGCAAGGCTAATGCAATCCCTGCTGT